AGAACTGAAACTAGAGTAGCATATTATTGTTGATAAGTCTATTGCAACAATATCATACGATAGAGATCAATCAAAAACGTCTACTATAAGATTGCATCGTGCTAGTAGGGCTCGTGAAAAGTTTGGTATACGGACAAATTCATTCATTCTTAAAGATCGTGACCTTTATACAAAAGATGAGGATGTATAACGTTAATCTTAAAAGAAACTGAAATTTCTTTGTACCAGAAAGCTCAAGCTTTGGTTTACAAGTTTGATTATAATGCTACCATGGAAAGGGAGATGCATTCGTTGAGAATTAGAAGATTTTGGAGCTTGTTGAACTTCCTAGGTATCAGACACTGATTGACTCCAAGTGGATGTACAAGCTCAAGTACAATCGAGCAAGAGACGAGGCAAGATCTTTCAAAGGTAGATTGTTGTTTGAAGGTTTCACATAGAAGAAGTATGTAACTACAACAAAATTTTCTCACATATAGTAAAGTATGTTACAATTCATCTAATATGTGCCCTAGCCGCAATATTTAGTCTTGTTATGTATCAGATTGATGTGGATATAGCTTTCCTCCATAGATATTTAGAGTAGGATATCTACATGAGACAATTGTTTGGCTTTGAGGTCAAAGGCCAGACAAGGTTGATTTGTAGATTGTTGAAATCGATATATGAACTAAAGCAAACTCCTAGGCATTGAACACGTGATTTGATGAGTTCATGAAGTCACTAGGATTTTTACGGAGCGTGTATGATTTTTGTGTTTACATGAAGAAGGTGAATGATGAGATATTCAATCTCATCATTTTAGTACTCTACTTTGACGACATGCTCATCTTGGCGAAGCATCAATTTGATGTTGATGAATGCAAAAGTCAGGTAAAGTATTCATTTAGTATGAAGGATATGGGAAGTCAAAGAGTATGTTAGGCATGAATATTTATAGGAATATTAAATAGAAGAAGTTATGGTTGAGTCATGACAAGTATGTTTATCATATACTTGACAGATTCAATATATTTCAAACTCTCCATAGCTCAATCTTTTACAGATGATATGGAGAAAGTAAGAATGTTTTGTGTTCCCTATGAACAAGTTGTCGACAGTCTCATGTATTTCATAATGTGCACTAGGCTTCATATTGCTCTTGCAATGGATAAGGTAAGTATGTACATATAGAATCCAAGAAAAATTCATCGGGAATTAGTGAAATAAATTATGATAAATCTGAAGCTTATTTTGGATTATAGCTTACTGTTTAATGGTTTATTAAACAATGTCAAATCCTGGTTTGGTTATGTTGATGTTAATTACAAACAGGATCAAGTTATAAATACATATGCAACTGGATATGTATTTACACTTGGCTGTGAAAGCTTATTAAGCTTGATAGACTTATTGTAGAGATGAAATTGACACATGGGGTGGTAAATCTTCGTTGTGATAGCTAGAGAGCTTTACATTATCAAACAAGCAGTGTGTGATAAAATGATTGAATTAATCAGAATAGAGGGTAAATTTAATCCAACTAATGCGTTGAACAAATTTATTACTTTGGAAAGTAATATGCGACACTCTACTACTATGAAGTTTGTGCATGGGGAGCACAAGTAGAGTTGCTAGCATAGATACTTCAGGTTTTTTGAAAAAAATCTCCTTTATCATGTAATAGTTAAGACTTAATTCTAGTTAACTTTTGTGTAAAGACAAGCTATGTGTTGGATTCCCGTCTAGAACTTTTTGCGGAATAATAATATAGGTTATAGAGATTATTGTATCTTGAACACAAGTTAAGGTGAAAATTGTTGAGTTTAACTCATGCTCTAACTATTTATAGCTAGAGTAATCAACTATGTTTGATATATATACCTCAAAAATCTGCATTGTATGATAGTTACTTTCCAATAGTGTAGGAAACTCTAACTCGCGTGTTTTCTCCGTAAACATTCAAAGTTTGAACCATGTTATTATTGTGTCTACTTGTGTTTGTTTATCGAACTGTCTGGATATCATTGATGATTCTTAATTTTGACACTAACATTTAGAAAAAATTTAAATTCAAAATTTTAAAGATAATATGAAATTTGAATACTCAACAGAATTTCTACCTTCATTTAATCTTCAAAAAGTTTTAAATTGCAATTTTAAATCCAAACTCAAAATCATTGTTAGAAGTGTATTTTGATAAAAAAAAATATATAATTTTTAAATTATGTATTTATACATATATCTTTATAATTCTTTTTAATAAAAAAACTCCTCATTTTTTTCATTACGCAGTTTTCAATATTATATATTTTTAAATACTTGTAGAAAAAAATTTTATTACAAAGATTATAGTATTAAAAAAAGTTTATTTTTATTATAAACACGTGTTGTATCATGTGCATAAAACATGTCTACATTGTGTGTATGAATTATAATGTAAACATTTATTTTCAATCTTTAATATAAAATAAAATAAATCAAGTATTTCCACAAAATTTCCTCATGAAAAAACAATCAATATAGATAAAAATTCCAATGATTTTTTAATTCTGAGAATCATATGATTACAATGTCATACATATGAATTTGAAAAATGAAATTTCAATGCATTTTTTAAAATGATATTTTCAATATTATTTTTATATTACGCTTATATTTTTAAATAAATTTTAATTACTGTAAAATCTTAGACATAAAAAATAATAAATACCAATCTTTTTTATTTTTTTAAAAATTCTCTTGGAAAGTATCAATTATAGATCTAGTGATATTTTATATCTTATATTGTTATAATTACAACGTACTGCAAATACATGTGAGAAATAAGTTTTGATTACATATTTTTCCAAATGATATTATAAAGATAATTTTAAAATCAAAATTATATTTATGAAAATATTTTTTATTTAATTACAATTGTAAGACAATATAAATAATACATGTCAAGTTTTCTAAGTTTACTATGTTTTTTAAGTTCAATTAATTAAAAAATATTGGAACCATCTTGAGTTTACTCACATAAAATTTGGAAAAACCTCAACGTTAAAATCAATACATTTGTAATGATCTTAGAATGTCAGCAATTACTAACATTGATGAATTTACTAACAAAGAATCTTCAATCTAAAAACATTATACTTTATATGAATGTACAGATAAGTTTAGGATTGTTATATTTATTTATATTGTTTTATTCCACCAGTATTCAAATTTCAAACCGTAAGCATAAATAACATAGACCATGAGCAAAAAAATTCATTATTTTTGAAATATTAACTTTAACTATGATAAATTATGCCAAAATAACAAGAATTGTGTGAAGCAATGAAAATTCATTGCAATGAAATAACTTAGAGTGTAACCTATATGTTTTGTCATTCAAATGTGTATGCATCGTTCAATTTCATCAGTGTTTTGATTAACTTTTAATATAGTGACTGAATGTGTAATTTTACTATTGATTTCTGAATATGCAAGCAGTTCATGATTTTTAAAGAGAGCCAATTTCATATTGAATATAAAATACAAATACTATTTTTTTATATCTATATTCAAATTCAAATTTTTCAAATCTAAAGTTAACATTTTAACACACACAAAATTGCCGAAGATTTTAATCAATATATGTAAAGTTCATGATTTTTTGCTCATGTTATCACAATGAGCATTGACATAAAAATGTGTTATTATTGAAAGTAATATTACATGAATTTCAAATAGAATTATTATATCATGTATTAAATTAATCTAATTTATTGTAAAAAATCGAATATAAAAATAGTCATCATACATAATTTGTATACAGGTTAGTTTGCAAGATGTTCAAGCTATGTCATTGATTTAATAAATTTTTTTACAATTTTTTTATTACAAGAATTTTCATTTAATGTTTTATATTGCGAATATTTTCTTTTATTTGACTCTGATCAAGAAATGTTATGTTATTTGCATATGTAGATTCAAAACATACATCTAATGAGATCAAGCATTGACTTTAATAATATATATTTATAGAAATTTACATGGAGATTGTTCATTTTATTGTTATTATTTGAAAAAATCATGTTCTTCTAACTATGTTATAATTTCATTATTATCAATGGATAATTGATAATATTTATATCCAATTTATGTACAAACATCCATCGTCTCTTTTAACTCTTTGAAAATATAAAAGAAGCTTGCAGTAGTAATGACATTAGTACATATCCATACCAAGCAAGTGAACTCAGAAAATGAGGCATATGTTTTAGCATACTACGCTAGAAACATTAGTATACTTTACAATAAGATAATAAGCAAGATTCAACTCGTTGATATTTATTTTTCATGTACAGTTCAAAAGTAGATACATTAAGAGATAACTTAGAAAGACTCTTAATGAATTAATTAGTGAAATATGTGGATTTAGGTCAGTATAGTATCTATATTAATCTAGATTGTAAAAGAAATGACTTAGGATACAATCGTCTCACGAGTGAAAAATAAATCATTGCGAGAGCATCCAGGAATCTCAACTAGCAGTTCTACAAAGACAATCCCAATCACAATTTCTCAACTCATAATTTGTAGATTTTAGAATTAGAGAAATCATTCATTTACATGTTCTCAGTATTATAAGTTTATGATGGTTCAATAACTATTTTGAATAGGAAAAACTTTTCAACTTGAAACTTGTAATTTCTAGTATAGGAGATACTATTCATACATGTGATATCCGTGTAATAATATTTTGATGGTTCATTGACTATATATGATAACACAATATTTTCAACTTTTAACTTGTATTTTCTAGCATAGGAAAAATGAATAAAACATATATTCTCTTCACAATAACAATTAGATAATTCTCCAAACCGATCAAATAATGAGCTCAATAATGAAGTAATCCAAACAGAAGATGCTCAGGCCATGAATTTGGAAGCTGCAAATGTGCATCGCATGAATGCGGCTGTTCCTGAAGTTGAGGCCAAGTCGTCCAAGGGAACGAAATGTGATGCAGAGGCAGCTGAAGCTTGGCGTGTGGGGAAAATTAGATCGGGCGGACGGTGGATATCATGGGCAGGTGGCAAGGAGCAGACGAGCGCAGATTGGGCTTTTGTGGAATCTGGTGGAAAACTAGGCGATGGAATCTATCGGTCGAGGCTCAGACCAGAAAGACGGTGGCAAGCTGGAAAGCTCTGAGGCCGGAATTGGGTGCCCGCGCCTCGACCATCGTTCCGTCGTCGAGGTTTCGAGCTCGCTCGTTGGAAAGACCAGCGAACTAGGGACGGGGCTCGTCGAGGGGTGGAGGGTCTAGCTCGAGATCCATCGCTTTAGGCGAGGAGCAGGCGGATTGGCAGCCATGGCGCTGCGACTGCCTTCGGGAGCAGCAGCAGTGGGTTCTGTCACTGTGTCGTCGCAAGATGCCGGCGGATTCTCAAGGATTTGTCCTCAGTTGCGAGCTGGGTCTTGTACCTTTAGAGGAGTCGGGAATTGGAATTGTGTGCGAGCTGTTGTCGATAACACTCCGAATGTCAAACAACGAGCCAAGCTTGCCGCGTCCAGAGTTGAGAAGGTTGTTATCAAAGAATCAGAAAAGCCTCTAGGTGGGTGTGTTTGAAGTCCTGCGCACAAAATTGAGCAGTGTTGTAACAGCACCGTGAGACCTTTCGACGCATTTGGTCAAAATTTTCCAAGAATGTGAAATCAATAACCCGCGACATGGGTCTTCATCTTGAAAATGTCTACTTGCTCGGGCAATGTTGTCGATGCTCTGCAATGTTCATGTTATCACGACAAATTGAAGCGAACTGAACATTAATTGCAAAGAATCTGCGAGATACGGAGAGACTTCAGAGAGTCAGGCGGGAACATTGACTTTTCATATGGTCTTTGAGTAAAGGTAAATTCTTCAAATATCTGATGTAGGTTAATGTATATCTTGTTTGGTGCAGCGGAATACATGAGGTTGCCAGCAAGCCAGTACTCCGTATTGGATGCAGAGCGGATTGAGCGCGTTGATGAGAATTCTTTTCGGTGTTATGCTCCTCGTCTGAAGTTTTTCAATTTCGAAGTCGGGCCTGTGCTCTTGGTGCGGGTGGAGGAGCAGCCGGACGGCTGCTGCATCAGACTTCTGTCCTGCACTGTGAGTATCTTCCAATTCAACAAACTGGAAATTCGATTCTTCGATCAGCCCACCCTGCGACCGACAGATAGCGAATGCTCGTCCTTCCTATGAAAGTGTCAAATTTTTTTGTGTATTTGAATGCATTTTAGTTCTTAGACTGGAAGCTAGAAAGTTCGTCTCAGATACTTTTGTTGCTAATACCTGCATTTCATCTTGCATTTCATCTTTTATTGGTGATTTTTTAATGGAGAACACAAGTAGCAAGAGTTTGACATATCATATTGTATCGATTTTCTTCTGGTTCTACAGCTGGAAGGATCTCCAATTGTGGTGGCACAAAACCAGAAGTTTACAGGTGAATCTAAAGTCTTTGATTCTCACCTATTTTCCTCCTGTTTGAGCCTTAGCATTTCTAAGATGAGCACCTTGATCTTAAGATGAGTTACTTTGTGCCTCTTGTGCGCCTTAATTAGTAAATTTTGATTGACAAACGTATAGGTCTAAGAAATGATGAATCTGTCTTTTATTTTTCTTTCATTGATTATAGTCGTATTCATCTGCCACGAAGTAACATTAGGATTTGAAGAATAAGTGGTTCTAGGTTGCGAGAGCTGACTGTATGACGAGTCGGTCAATTACAATTATTATTTGCTTTCTGTTTTTGACTGTGACTAGTGTTTGCAGCTTCAATGGTGAATAGAGTTTCTTATAGAGATAGCAAGGAATCATCAACAGACAAGGAACTGATTTCAGATACGACTATTCAGGTGTGTACATCATATCTCCAGAGTGTTCTTTGAAGGATCTGTCTAAATTTCAGACAAGTAACTCATATAAACTTTCTGGCTTCTACTTATCTTGAAGCTTTGAGTCTAAGCGATTGATGTAAAAGGGGGAAACAATGTAAGCTGAATTTATGCTCTGATCAGCCCCATGGATTCAATATGTTTTGCTCAAGATCTCTGTGAAAGAAGCAATCAGATGGATTTGTGCTACGCTGCTTGGACAGCTAGATGCACAGAAAAATGCACGTCATTGCCTACTTTGTCAACTTTCTTCTAAGCTCTTCAGTTTTTATCTGCTGAAGGAAATGTTTCATTGTTATTTCCATGATGTAATACTAAAAAAACTTGAAACCGATGTTTCGGTGCGAATGAAGATTATCAACTTCTATTACCAAATTCTATCTGGAGAGATAAAATCTGGTATGTCCTTGATTGTTGCGTTCCATATAGATTTCCTGAGTTATTGTTTTGAATTCTGGCACAATGCAGGTCACTTTGGAGATTCCTGATGCTGTTAGTATTATTCCGAAGTCAGCGATCGAAGGAACTGGAAGTAATGTACTAGCGCAGGTTTTGAAAGTTATGATTCCTCGATTTCTAGCACAGGTATGTTAAATCTCTGGCTCTCTGTTGTGTATTTTCCTTGGCTTTATATTATGCTCTTGTTGTAACTGCTTATAAAAGAAGCCCCTCGGTGGAAGGGTTACAAATCTGGAAGATCAGAAACATGATTTATCTATCTAAAACATTAATCATGGGACAAACGTGACAAGACTTGGAAGAACATCTGGAATTTCAAATGATTCGCTGTAATAGTATAGTGATTATGGAAGCGAGATCTTCTGTGCTCCTTTTACGTGTGTCATTCGGATGCACTGATTCTTTTGTGTATCGTTGATCATTGTGTGCAGCTTGGAAAAGATTATAATGCCTGGGCAACCGGAGATGCCTCTCGCAAGCCCCTTGGAACTGGCGAGCTTTAAAGCATACCTCTGAATTTTCTCTATACAGATGTTACGACCTCCCACCCTTCTGTTGTATATTGTGAGGACATTTCTTAATGATCTGAAAGTAGGTGGTCTCACTTGTACAGTGTAACTAGCATTGGGGTTCCTAAATATCTTAGGATTTACCTTATTACCTAGGAAACCTACTGCAGTTTTGCAATTCATTTCCCGTTATTCTTGTTCATCAGATATAGCAGCTATATTTGTGAAACTTTCAGGTAAGATGATCATCAAATAAATAGCAGGTATGAGCTAGTTGGCCATTCAATGTCTCTACAGAACCTCAATGCAATTTAAAAGCTCTCTACAGAGAAAGTACTTACTTTGGATTTCGTCCTTATGAGACGAGGAGAAACTTTAAGAAATCTCTCTGTTGTCTTACTGGCACGAGTCGTTTTCACAATCCAGGTCGATATTTTGTTGGATAGACTTATATGATGCTATTTCACCTTGACGATTGAAACCCCCATCATCTGAAATACAGCAGCTCGTACCTGAATACAGTTATGCCTTTAAGAACTCTTAGGGTCGTGTTGAGAACGAGGACACTGTAAAATCTAGTTGAACTGTGCATCACAAGTACACGAAAAGAGTATTCTGTCAGAAATACTACTGATCGTCACTCCCCACCATACTCCTGATAGTGGTTCACTTTAGCTTGACAGGTGCGATCCTTGTCAGCTTCCAACATATTTCATCTTTTATGCTGTCCAAACAGCGAATTTCAAACATACAAAGTGGATGTAACTGAACTCGAGGTCGGAAGCCACGAAAGTGTCTCTCTTTTGTGTTGATCCTGCTTTGAAATGGCAGAGTCCAATCAAAAGTTTCCAAGTTCGTAATCCTGTACATATTTAGAGCTGACGTACTAAAGTCAGGATGACCGTTCGTTCACATGCCATAGTAATTGACGAAAGTTCCTTGTGACTTGTGACTTGTGATTGTAGATTCTTGTAGTAGACTGCGTGGTACCGAGTTTAGTAATTAAATGACACCGTAACGGATAAAATTTACTTCTTATGACTTCGCAATCATGCGTTCACGTTTGATACGTCTTCATCTCAGACTTATGCCTCACTTGTCTTGTTTATGTACGTTTAAGACGTAAGAAGGATGTGTAATAACGTCAGAAGAGACATTGATGACCGTAGTCCGATAAAATTTACTCACCGTTTTTCGGTCGCACCCTCAATGTCATCTGACGCGAGGGCGTACTAATTCTTTTACCAAGTTGAGGTTTACTTTGAGGTGCGTCACTCCTGTACGTACACGGGGAAGAGTAACCGTTCAAGATCACTGTAAATATCATCGGGAAAGGCGCAAAGACTTCGATATATTTTGAAGTGCAAGATGTGTGTGGGCAATATCTTTTCTCCAAAGAGCTATAAAAATGAACCTGCTTTAAATACAAATTGTACCAGCAAAGACCACCTAAACTTGTCACTACGATGCCTGTTCATTTACTCTTGACCAAAAACTCAGTCATGAAGGTCATAGACAGAATACTCACGCTTGCCAAATCAAAGAAAGATGATAGCGATGTGTCTTCACGCATGGAAAACGAGAACTTGAGTAAGACAATGCCATCTCTGGACTGCGGGGTGTATGTACTTATGGATCAAATGCAGGACGCAGAAGGACGTACAATCAATCAGACTACCAGGAGAAAATAATGCTGAGAAGATTCATGAAGCAAACATTGAATAGACTACAAGCTTTGAACTCATATACAGATCTAACTCCATTCAACAGACCTATGCAGCATCTCATGTAGACAAGGTCTCTTTGCACCATTGAGCATAAGATCCAACATATTGCGAAGAAAAAAAATAATTTCCGGTAAATCAAGAATTTCCATGTAATTTTCAGTAAACCAAGAAAATGTTGCATAGAATAGTTGTGAGTCACCACATGATATCGAAAGTTTAGTGAGATATACCATCAAAACTGACATATTCATGTTTTCTACTTGGCCACTGGTTTCTCGTAAACATGACATACAGGTCGAGACACACCATAACTGTAAACACATACCTAGATATATTTCCTTCACAGTATTTTCCACTGCTAAAAGTTACATCGTGAAGGCATAAAAAGATAGCAAAGAACGATGATAGATTCAAAATCAAAGATATTGACGAAATTCCGACAGTAAAGTACTTGGTTCTAAGCAGTCATATGGACGTCCGATATTAACCTCAGCTTCAGAGCCGAAAAGAAAGTGCTTAGCCGTTCATGATAAGTGTGAAGCCTATGCTAAAGAGGTAATTGATTCAAGAAAAAGTCAGTACACCAATTTATGTTGGCACTACGTACTATGGAACAAGAGTACAGGAGTGTAACAAAGTGGGGCAAAGTCGTGAAACTGAACAAAATAAGCTGATAGGTTCATTGACTAGGAAAGAATTGCACATTTGATCATTCATGACGTTCTGGACATTCTGCTTCCTTCATGAGATAAGGGAATTGTGACAAACACTCGTATTAACTAAAATTAACTCAGCTGGCAATGTTTCTACCAACGACTAAAGCGACCATCATATTTCGATAGGAGCAAATGCCATGAAAGAAGCAATCGGTAATAAATTACAGGCCACCAAATATTGTAAAACACAATGCTCTGGGTCTTGCGGCAGCAGCAAAACCTGCTCTCGTACGCTGAGTAGCACAGCAACCAAGCCCTAAACCGCAATGGTGCTGCACCTGAGACATTGTTGACGTCACCCTACTCCCCTTGATACCAATTTCTGGCATAAGTTGTGCAATCCAACCCAAATTTCTTTCTCCGAATCTCGTGCCGGTCGGAGCACGGCACGGTCGATTGCGCAGTCACGTCTCTCGATTTCGTGCAGTGACAATCATTTGCTTATTCCTGCAGGTGTTTCTTATGGACTTTTGCAAATACTGCTCTCACGAGCTCGAAAGTAATTTTTACCCAAGCCCTAAATCACAACAATGTTACGCGGATTCAACGGTGCCATCCTCACTCCTTGAGACCGTTCCCTGGCATATGTTGAGCAATCCACCCCAATCCTTCCCACAACCCTTCTCCCGTCAAGGCACAGCAAGACTGAATGTGCCAGTCGTGCTTTTTAATTTCGTGCAACGACAGCCCTTCGCTTATTTCCGCAGGTGACATGGAATCTTTCAAATCCTGCTTGTTTGCAAACACTAGAATGACGGCTCCTTGAAGATCGTCGTGCCCCAAGAGTTGAGTTAATTCATTTCTAACGATTGTCAGCCTTTGTCGATCTGTACTATCCACCACCATAACCAGCGCATGGGTGCCCCGATAATAAGTAGCCCACGATGCTCGCAAACGCTCTTGCCCACCTAGATCCCAAACTTCAAATCGGAGATTCTTATAATTTACTTGCTCTACATTACTGCCCACCGTGGGCTGGGTACTCACCACGTCCCCCAAGTGCAACTTATACAGAGTGGTAGTTTTTCCAGCGTTGTCCAATCCCACCACCACTATCTTGTACTCTTTAGCAGGAAACATCGTATACCACAAACGCGACACGATCATCCCCATGGTTGCTCTCTTTTTGTGCCAACAGATGCACCCTCCTGTCACCGTCCCCTCTACAGCTACTCCTCGCTCTCCTCCTCCTCCTGCTGCTCGCACGTCTCGTCCCAACTCAACGAGATGATAAGCACAGCTACTCTACTGCCTCACAGTCCAGCTGATTGAGGAGCGCCTGTCCAATCGGAGCACACCCTTCTTGAACTCTGTGGGCACCACTATAAAACTTACCAGAGCCCTGAACTACGATTCTCATCGTTTTCCATAAGAGAGAAACATAATTGCTGCTTTGTATGGCAATCGCTCACCGACGAAATTCTCTCGAGTGATGCTGTTGCCGCTCTGCTCTGCTCGGCTCGGCCGCCTGTACTACTATCGATTGCTATCAGGTGCTACACACTGAGCGGATTGAAAAGCTGAGACCTATTAATATGCATGATGATGATTACGATGACGACGACGACGATTTTGATCAGATAAAGAACCTCGGCATATCTGAGCCAGTCCAAGCGAAGCGAGATGAAACGAGTCAAGTCGAACTCACCCGAAGGTCTCCGTGCCTCCGAACGAGAGTGGCAAACAATGGACCCAGCTCGCTCCTGCTCCTGCTCCTGCTCCTTCTATTCCCTTTGACCAGCCCCGACTCCCATAGATCGAACAGAAAAAGAAAGCCAAGCCAAGCCAAGCCAAGCCACTCCACTCCACCCCAACTCCACTCCACGCCAAGCCCTGCCCTGCCCTGCCCTGCCCGAGCCAAGCGGAGCCAAAGGAAGAGAAGAAAGAAGAAAGAAGCCTCGACGACGAAAGCCTTGGAACGCCGAAAGAAAGAGGGAGGCGAGGGAAGGGAAGGGAAGGGAAGGGGAAGGGAAGGAGAGGGGCAAGGGAAGGGAAGGGAAGAGGGAAGGGAAGCCCAAGGAGGGAGCCTCCCAGCTTTCGTGCGAGCAGGAGGTCTGGTGTCGTGTCGTGACAGCAGATCGGCCTGAGGAGAGCAAGAGGAGGGCGTCTCAGCTGCTTCCCTCCTTCGTCGTCGTCGTCGTCGTCTTCTTCTTCTTCTTACTGCGGCATATGATTCGACGGGCAGACGACGGCCAGCTGATCGCTACACTCCTCTCTCTCTCTCTCTCTGCTGCTGCTGCTGCTGCTCTTCCTTGGCCCTCTTCTCTTCTGCCTGCTTGCCTGCAGTCGCCTCCACTTTCGCCTCCTGCCCACCCTCGCCACCCACTTCTCACTTCACTCGACCATGTTCTGTACCCGGAACCTCGCACCGGTGAGTAAGTGCGATGTCATCGGCCTCGAGCCGCGACCCGCGACCCGATGTATCACGTGTAAAGCCTGCAGCATCTCTCCTCTCCTCGTCCAATTGCAGTTTACGACACTGTGGAATTACACTCTCGCCCCAACGCCGTCCCCCCGTCCCCCCGTCCAGTCTACTACTGCGTGGTCGGTCGCCTGGCCTTCGGGTCCCTCTCTCTCTGCGCAGCTGGACTGCCGGCTATACCGACCCCCTGCGTCCTCCTCCTCCTCCTCCGTGCGGGCAACAGGTGCCCGGCGGAGGGGTAAAAGTGCGCATGCTGGATCTCGAAGGGTGGATTTTACCCATCGCCCGGTGATGTGGAACGGATCGGATCGGCTCGGCTCGGTTCGGCGGACGGAGTCCAAATGGCAGCGATGGCGCAAGAGCTGCTGCTGCTGGGGTCGAAGTCAAAGTGTTGGCCGGCTTCGACGCAAGCGCAGCCTGACGACGCTTTTCGGGCAGATCTGAAACCTGGAGCGACGAAGAAGGTGCACTCTCGAAAGTCTTCGTCTCCTGCTCTCGTCCTCTCTTCGTCTCGCACGGAGCAATGCGTCGATGGCATGCACATCTGCAACGCAACGCAGCCCAAATGCTGAAAAGTCCTTTCCGTGAGGCACCATGTTTGGAGAGGCGCTCGAGACCCGACATGGCGATCCGGGAAAAAATCAACGTCGGGTCCGGCGTATTTAATATGCATTACAGTAGTAATCCTTCGCAGGGAGGAAGGCGAGGATATAGCTTCGGCGCAAGGAACGAATAATGCTGACTACTCCTCGACAGTTGTTTGTCATCTTCCGAGCCTCCGAAGGAGTTAGAGTGGATCACGCGCTTCTCTCTCGGTAAACGACGTCATGAAAGTCGACGAAGATGTCAAATCTTAGCCCATCGACGGAACCTAACCTGCTTGGATCAGAGTGGATCCCCACCGTGGGCAACAAGGTCAACAGGCATCTCGAATGATGCGTCTTCTGCTTTGAAGTCGAGAAGAAAGCCATGAATAGAAATTTGCCTCAGCAGGACGTGTATCTTAAGAGGTAGAAGTCTGTTCTATGTTCTGGTGGGTACGAGTTGCATTGCTTGTGAGGCTTGGTTCCATAACCTCACTGTGGAGCAAGGACACAGAATTTCATGATGCTTTTGTGTTCGGTTGCTCTTGCTCTTGCTCGAGTCATATCAATCTCTCCTTTCTATGAACCAAAATTTATCCGGACTTTCGATCAATTACTACTTGGAGTCTACCACGCTCACTTTGAAACTGAGGGTGTCTGAATATTTGATTTCTAGTTTTCACAGTCATGTGTGATGGCTAAAAGGCTACCGTGGTTAGAATTTATTGTGTGAAGTATGAGGATCGTGGAATCCCCCTTCAGGGGTTGATATCGTGGTTTTGTCCCAGCTGAAAATCTTTATGGCTTACGTGGTTAATGAACTTACGCAGTCTCCAGGCATCCCAAATTAGTTGCCATAGTTGCCACCTCATCCTGACGCTTCTATAGGAGGAGGAAGGTGCCAGTGCTTGGAGCAAGTAACGGGAACCCCGCATTGAGCAGCGCAATGGGGGATCATAGATCTTATAATAGCTCAGGCCATGGGAGAAGTGGAAGAAGAAGGTGAGATGGTCCTCCTGTACTGCACGTGGTCATCTTAAGTGCTGAGAGACATCACAAGATGCTGCCAGGAGTCAGGACGAGTTTTGCCGACAAATGGGTCCAATTCTTTTCACTGTGAAAGGTTTAAGACATTTAGTTCCCTCCTTGTTCCTTTCCCAACCAATTCCGAAGAATCCGCTAACCTCTTTATTGCAATGGCTAGAACCCAGACAACCAAGCTAAGCGTACGTTGCACATTCGATTGACGAAACTTGTGAATTGAGCCTTATGTCCATGTGATCGTGTCAGAGTTCACGGCAACAGACGGGTGAAATTATGTAAGCTTACCTCGGACATAAATACTGAATCTTATAGAGAAAGTCTGGTCTGATATCTCCTGTGCAGAATCAATTTTATCCTAGTACAGATTGCAAAAATTTCCCGTTAGTAAATCAAAGTTTGGTTGGATTGATTCCCTTTCAATGATTCCTTACTGCCTGACTTGGCGTGGTCTCTCTACGAATTTCCAGCGGCATAATATGAAGACTTGCATGTACAAGGACACCTCCCAGTAGGACGGAACGCAGTAACAAATTTCTTATATCTTGAATCATGGTATAAACCTAGAAATGCGTACAAAATTTTGGAGATATTTGATGAATCCAGTGTGAAAGCACTGAACTAACTAGTGGTCTACTTCTACTTCGCTCCTGCCTCTCATGCCCACTATCCAGAATGCTTACTGAAAGGTTTCCGTGAATTGACAGCCCACCGAGAGGTTTCAGGATTAGAATTTGCTTTCAGTGCTCTTGCCTTCGTCGCGCTGCCAGCACTCACCTTTCATCATTCGTCTTGAGAAACATAAAGAAAATCTCTTCTAAAGCTTATCTGCAAAAGGGGTATCATCCGCCTATTTCGTTCTCCTTTAAATGTTACTAAATGATCAAAATTGGTTAGACCTCAGGTCGTAGCAACGCTGTGCGGAATACTCTTGTAGTTTGTTTTCCACTCCCTCTGGTGATCATCCGCGATCTCTCGGCCGATGGTCAGGTTTGGCTTTCGTAGCTTCCTGTCGAGACCTTCCCACTCTCTCAACCAACCTGGATATGATAAATTATAATCTCGTACCTCAGAGGAGCTGGTTTCATGCTTCATTCTCCTTTGGAACCTCATACTTTCGATACTGATCTCTCATTTCTGAAACTGGAGTTCCTACCTGCAGTTCAGTGGCTACTTCTTCAGGATCGGCTGGTTGTTGTACTGTCCTTCCATCTAGCCATCGCATTCATCGATATTACTGCTTACATCCAAATTCTAGGAGTCAGAGCGGTTTGGGTGTACCCGTTTGAAGCCTGAAAAACAATGGTGAATTATGTCTGCATTGATAGTGCCAGCCGGACCATAGAGTTGGGGTCCGACTGAAACTTTCGTTGGACGGTGAACATCAGTCGGTGGCAGAAGGCCAGAAATGAGGTTTCTTTCGGTGGCTGCAGTCATAGCCACGTGTTGTTCATCAAACGGGAGTAAGAGAATGTACTGGCTGCGCAAATTACTTCAATCTTCCAGATTGAAGTGACCCGACTCTTTCGCGGGCAAATTTACCTGTTTCATAGTAAGGACCCGTGGCTTTACGACCTCTGAGTACCTTCTTCTCTGTTGTACCAGGCTTGCACACACAACACTGCAAAGTCAAGAGTTCCCATATGAGTCTGATCATCATCTTCATGATCATCGCCAAGCTATGATGTTACAAGGTAGTAAGTTTTGCCTCTTTTTTAGAAAGAAGAAAAAGGGTATCTACAATATTGTTTGCTTTACAAGCATATGTAGCTTTATAGATCATCTGTACTTTCCCTCTTCAACATTAGCTGTAACCCCAACACTCAACAGTAAAAGCTTTAGTCCGACATAGGTACAAGGCACAATTATTGCATATAATCCGTTATCAGTCTTACAACGTTCCCCTCGAAGTGGCTCATATGACCCTTGGGAATGTACTTCTTCATAGAGCGTGCACCGTCTGTTTGCACAGACAAGTAAGACAACTACTTCAGAGTTAGAATAGAGCTGTTACATGAGCCACTTGTGAGATAAAAGTCATGTAGCAAAATGCAAAAATAACGTAGACCAACGTCCAGAGCAACTATTTCTGTGATTTCAGTGTTCAACATAATCTTTACAACAGTGGGGAAGTCCAGGTTCCTCCAAGATAGTTCCTCAACTCCTCGCTGACGCTCGTGATCCAACGGACCGATCAACATGCTCATCGCACAGGCACAGGTAAATACACTATGCTTTCGCATAGTGTATTTACCTGCGCATGTTGATAAACTAGTTGCCCAAACTGTGTCCAGCCGAACTAGAGCTAGCGGATGAACGAGAAACTTTCCGTCAGTATGGAACCTGAATGATAATTCTCAGCATAACTAGAGCTCCTCGAAAAAACAGGTCAGGATAAGTTTTGGATAAGAGCAGCAGAATACCCTCGGTTGGAATGATGCCAAAAGCGTAAGGGGTAACATTCGCGGAACCTAAGAAACAAGCAGTGCAAAATATCAACCATCTTCAAAATGTCAAGGTACTGGAAAACCAAACTCATTATATTCGCCACAAGTGAGCAACATGGCTCGCTTGAGTGTGTTCACGATGAAGGCAGGCAGAGCCCTTCACAGTCATAGGTCCTTATCCGGTGAGGGTCTAGGAGCAAGTGGAAGGCTACATTAGGGATCGAATTCTGAACTTCCAACCGAAAGAACTTACCAGAATTGAATGCTAAAGATTAGTCTCACACCTGGGCGACTGGTAGCAGTGCTTGGTCTTCCAGGAAGGTCAGGTGTTTCCCAGGCCAAGGACATGGGTGGATGCTTTTCATAATACTCAGGAACTGTGGCACGAGATCGGTCTCGTTTCTGTTTACATACAAAAAGATTCAGAGCGTACGAATTCCAAGTTTCAGCTGCACCGCTAAAACGAGGCAGCTGAAACTTGGAACATAGAAGGTATCAATGTCACATGTCGATGATGTGGACATACGGCTCACGAAAGCAGTATCCAGCATGGAATCACGATTGGACACTACTTACCGGGGGAGCACTGTTGTAGTCCTCTCCGGCAATTCTGAAAGGTGGTACCCACTCAGACACCACCTGCACATGTTTCTTTCGAGGATAAGGCTGTTCCCGTTTTAGCGCAGTGTGAGGAAGTAGATGACGCCTTCCAGGTCTGAAGTTGGCCTGGTTGGTTTCAAGACCGGAGCTCGATGTGTCTGGCCTGATTCGAGGTCTGTATGGCAGCTCGTACCCTAATTTAGGTTCGAAGGTTCTGAGCGAGGGTTTCCACAATTTTTCTTCACCCAAACCAGGGTTTATGTACCGTTTTGTTGCTTTCCATTTCTCGCTCCAAGCTCCAGTCCCAGTGGCAATGTATTTACTACAAGGCTTGAACTGCTCAGGTCGAAAATCAAGAACAATCATTAGCTCCAGGCGGCAGTTTCTGTTATAAGTCTTGCCAGAGGATACAAAGAACTGGATCGACTAAAAGTAGATGCGGCGTTATTGAGATCATCATTTTCGATATAGTGGGGCAGACGAGAACACTTTTCCATCAAAACATGATCACTCCAGAAAATTGTCAAAAATACCAGGTCATTCTACACTCCTCCCGATCTAGAGCACCTACAATCAACCCCATCGAGTGCTCAGACTTCAACGATGTAGCACCTGCGAATTTGAAGGGCAAACTGTACAAGGTTCGATGATGTCTTTGACTTTGATCGGAGCACGGGACGAGCGCCACGTTGCTTCATAACCAAACTCTGAGACAGGCTTTACAGGCTTCGTGCAGGGATTCCACTGCGTAATCGATAAAGAAAAGGTCAGTCAGTTGGACTCGAGTGCAACATCCTATCCAGCAAAAGTACGTGCAGGCATAAAAGGTTTGCTGGCCTGACGGTGCCCAAGAAATACACCAGAATTCCAGACAACGAGTCAAACTGCATAAAATTCGGACCGAGTGTGTCAGACTGTACCAAAACTAGCATCCAGTAAAGAATATGTAACTGAATTTGCGCACCTGAGGAAACGTATCAGTGGTGCATTCAACGGGGAATTGGTCTCCAGCCGGAATGTTAACGTGAGTCTTGCAACAGCTCGCCTGCGAGTTCCTCCTTGCCACCTCTCTTGGACTCAAGGCCTGCAGTGGTGATCTGGGAGAGTTGCCCTGGCGAGATCTTCTTGCGTTCCGGCACGCTGATGTTTTCCATTCGTCAGGATTATAATGCCCGCCGTGGTCACCGTCTCGGCCATTCGGAGCCATAACTTGTTCGCCTCACAAGGTCAAAACTACATGTGCGTGACAAATTGCATCTCGACCTGTCACGTGCCCAAGCCTAAAGCTCCATGTATCGAACGCTTCAAAGGCGGAAAAAAATTTCACTCGCGGAAGAAGTTCAAGCTCCGGCAAGCGTAATGCCAGAACCTGATGTCTTCCTCGACTTGAAGGCCGAATTACGTCCGTCTTGCCCGCAACTGTGTCGAATCGGACATGGAAAGACGGATTGAATAGCAGCACTCGTCAATGTTGGCCCATCCAGGGCAGAATTCAAGACAGGGTCTGGGCTGAATGGTCATGTCCAGGTCCAGGTCTGGACGCGTGGGAAAATTCGAGGAGGGAGTTAGCAACACAACTTGCGTCAATTGTGGCAGCCAGAAAAATGTGAGGGGCAGGTATGAAGAGGGAGTCGGCAGAGCACGGCAGCGGGAGCAGGAGCAGGGGCCGCTTGTGAGAGCAAGTGAGCAACGCCGCTCGGATCTCCATCACCGGCTCCACCTTCTTGGCCCTGGAGCTCCCGGACTCTGTTTCTCCTCTTCTGCTGCGCCAAACTGGCGCGCGGACCTCGAGACCCATCGGACCAGCGCCCATCGAAGGTCCGGCAGATGCCGATAGATCCTTCCCAGAGATTCAGAACAGAATGGTTCCCTTGCGCCCTCGCCCCTTGGTTCACTCCTCCGCCCCCGAAAACTCAGAAACCATTCGTCCTGATTCCGTTCCCGCTGCGAAGCCGATCCACTACTGCCACCGTCGCTCGCCTCCGCGCACCACACGCGCATTCGTGTCGACCCTGATCGCCCAGCTCTCATGTAACTTCCTGTGACCTGCGAGCTCGATTACTGCCACTCTGAGCTAGAACCGAGAAAATTTCGGAACCTGCTGCTCTGTCTGGCTCCACAAGACTGACCCAATGTTCACACTTAGCATCAGTCCTCCCTCTTATTGGTCCAGAACAGCGTCTCCACCCCATCGCAGGCTCCCGATCGATTCGTTCACTCCATTCCCTGTCGTCCTCAATTCAATTCAATCAATTCAATTCGAATCCGCCTGGTTCACCCAAAAGCTTCCTCGGTACGGTGCTTTCCAGTCGACCGGCCAACTGTCTCTCGCCATAATCGCCATAGCCTATCTCGTCAGTCTTTCGGATTTTTCGACTGTCGATTGTCGATTGATCGACTGTCGATTGATTGTCTCCTCCGAATGGTCCAAGCCTCGACCTCGACTCCAAGGGGAAGAGAAGCAAACTGCTCAACTACTTAAGTACCAAGGAATGAAGCCAAACCGACTGGAGAAGGCCATGAAGTGTCTGGGATACTTGGGAAATACCCAATTGGATAATTTATTTCTCTAGGTCCATATTTCTCACGAGGACATGTGATGAGAATCATGTATACAAGATTGATGTTAATTGGATTATATAATCTAGTGTTATTTCCCACACTTCGGATCTGAGTCGCTTCAAATTTGCTACTTGAAATTTACAACGAAGATTTATCTCCTTTGCAAACTAGCACGATTACCTATAGCTCGCTAGTGAAACTTGTCGAAATCAAAATCCATATGATTCAAAATTTATGTAGCATATGCTTGATTATAAAGGAGATTTCGGCTGTTGCAATTCCACTCGCCTCTGTTTATGAATACTGGTTATTATTATCTCCGACATAATATTATTGTGTAAATTATAATTATGAAATGTGCATTAATAATTTGGTGATCTCAAACTAAATATAAATTCGCTTCAACAAACAGCATGTTAAAGTATATATTGGGTAACAAACACCACATACATCTTTACTAGTTGAATATATGAAGAGTGATATGGACCCGTCCCTGCATCAAACTGAGTTCTACTCTCACTTACAGTGAAAAGAGTCATTTGGGTGGATTAATCTAAAAAGTAACAAGATAGATGGAAAAATGTCTCGCCCCTCACCAAGTAGTGTAGGAAAAGATTAGGAACACGCATCATACCACATGGATAACATGGTGCTAGCCCAATGATGGAAATTGGCAATTGGGCCTTCTCGAACAACTGAACCAGCACATCCATACCCACCCTGACAAATTACGAGCCACCTTCTCCTCCAGCTCTTCGTCATGCTGGCCTCATCCACATCTCCCAGGAGAAAAAAAATAGCCCAAAATCAACCTCCTTGAAACCTCAGCCTGGCGGCAATTATCGCCACACTTTGGGCTCTCTCAAAATGGCTTCACATCTCCAAAGATGCACTGATCTGCAATTCAACCCGAGGGCACAAGTTACAATCATTTGAAGCAATCGGCTTGCACTGGTTATAGTTATGAACAGGTTTGGTCGAGATTTAGCCTCGACAGAATCCAAAAGTGTATATCTCGACTCTATACCGCTTGTGAGCATGTCTGATGGTCAGCGAAAGAAATGGAGCTTTCAGCATTCTCACTGGGACAGGGGATGCAGCAGCAGGTGCCGCCGGACCCACAGCTGCAGCACCTGTAGATATCCCGAATCTATCAGCAACTGCACCATGAGAAGTGCTGGCAGAAGACAAGTGGAATCCGATTAGCTTCTCTCTTTCCCACCTAAACATGCTGATCCTGCAGTTTCTTTCAGTTCTTATTGGCCATCTGACTGGATCTCAATTCTAACCAGTGCTAGGCTTACTTGACTTTGCACCTTCGTTTATACTTGTCCAGACCAACAGTCTGCGAGTATTCGAGACGCTTCTTTTCTGGCTCGACGAGATTCTTCTGCCTCTCAAAATAACATGCCCATCCTTCCATTAATGAACTCCAAGGCCCCAAAACCCAACAGAAGTGAAGACACTTCAGCTCTACGATATCTGTGACAACTAGATCGAACGGTACTTTGGACATTTCTGTGAATAATACATTTCATTTTGAAAACCATGCTCATGGGTAATCACGATATATGCTTTTCATTGCAGTGCAATATATATAAAGCACTGCAATGGAGAATCATGTGTGTGAGGTTGTTGACAAAAATGATTAAGAAGGATCAGGGACCTGTAGATTCGGAGAAGATTCCTTTCTGAGGTGAAGTAAATCAACCGACTTTCCATGCATAGTAACAACTAAACAGAACCTTATTAGACTGATGCTCTTGTTAACCTCACTTAAGTGTTAAGTGGGGGGTTATCGGGCCCGCCCTTCATTTTATTCATGACAATCCTACTACAGTCCACTGTAGGGCTGCCCAACTGTCTAATTACTTCCCCACCGCACATTTTTGCATTTTATAATGCTTATTCATTCCGCACGTTTTCACCAAGTGCGTTTGGATTTATCATATGCAAAGAAATGTTTCATTTTTTTATTGGCAGAAGGAATTCCTAGCAAAGGAAACTATCAATCACGTCCTCCTTATCTACTTAGAATTTACTTTGACGGTATCTCTTGAAGGAGATATCACATGAGAGATAAGAGGAAGAATCAGTTTCTGGCTGGAGTCAGGTTACGTGATAAAGCGCCTGTAAACCGAAATCTTCTTAAAAACAATTTTAAGTTATTTTCTATTCCAAGCTCTGGTCATATGAAACCACAGTGATTAGATTTAAGAATATTCAGAAATGTTCACTTTTGAAGGGTTTTGTAATTGAAAGGGCAGTTATATTCCAGCTTCCTCGACTAAGGTGCTGATCTTTACCGTCCAATTTAGATCATTTGCGCGATGGCATTGAGGGAGGAATCTATCATTGCAATTAAACATTGCTTTATGATCACTATCCGTCATTTCATCATATTAAGATTTCATAATAATAATTAGCATATTTTTTTGAAATCTTATGGCGCGACCATAAGAATGTATGTTAATTTCTGGATGGATTTTTGAAAAAGAACTGTGATATATCAAGGTCGTTTGAGAACATGATAGAAGTTAGTGGTATGATACCACCATATGATGTAATATCGTTATACTATAAGTTTGTGTTTATTGAAATGTTCTAAACATCTGGTATTGATAAACAATATTTCAAGGTCAATCAGAAAGATAATGTTATGTTTTAGTTTATGTGTGCCAATGCCAAATTATCTGATTATTTTAAATCACTGTAACGACATGCTTCTCCAAAATATGAGAACTATGTTTTCATTTCTGGCATAGATATCACACTTATAATATTACAAGAAATGTGTAAAGAACTAAATTAATTTTTTTCAACAATTAATTTCAATTTCTTTCTGAAAAAATATATTTTCAAAAATATCTTGACAATATTTATATATATACATATATATGGAAAACTATAATTGAAATAAAGACTATGTATTTGTACATACAAAATCTATCTATCTAAAAATATAATAATATATTTTAAATAATTTCTCCATTACATCAAATTCTACATTACTTTTTTTTGGTGCAAAATCACCGTTTTGTATATTTCATTGATATATATTGAGAGTGGCATATAAATCATTATTTTGATATCATTTGAAATGATGAATGACCTTTAACATCATATTATAGTCTTCATTGATATTAAACTTTGGCCTTGAATTACTAACTAAGCTTTTCGCCATTGAAATTATAAAATCCCCATATTATGTTGAGATGTTTTCAGACCCTTAAATTTTAAAAAAAATTACAGAAGATGATTGAAAATTTTATTTTTCATTTGAATTTCATATATGATCTTTTCTAAGTTTTTTCAATTCATCAAATAGAAAATATGTATCTCAAATTTTAAAAATTTTAATTAGCATATCTGATTTTTAAGACCTTGATTCTTCAACAATCATATCTAAGAACATATAATATCTTGGGATGCATTAGATATTTCATGATACAAATCGTTGCATATGATCTCCATGACCTCAGATTACAATTTCTTGTCATACATTTACAACATAATCTAGTAAATTAATTTAAATTTAATCATGAATTTTTAACAACATAGAAAGTTAATTTTTTTGTTTATGATGCAGAATCTTGATATGATCATTCTTTCAAAATTTGATCGTTTGTTTGTTGGGATTTACAATTGCTGAAAAAAAATATAGCTCCAAGTTACACATTAAGATATAAGTATTTTATTGTGTGAGGTGGAGTGATCTAAAAATAACCAACTAGTTCAAGTTGAACATTAACAAGTCATCAACTCATTACAATAAAGTTATCCTGGAGACAAGAAAATAAAATTATTTGGATAATAAGTTATGATATATATATTTTTTGATTCACAACATAATGAATGAATTTAAGTAAAATACAGAAATTTAACATGATCTATAGGCAAATTTTTGTTGAGATTTATTTATGTTAGGTTTTTCAAAGCTCATAATTTGAATATATTTTCTGGATGTAGGTAAAAGTAGCCAGGTTGCAACATGTTAGATTAGAAATGAGATTAGTATAAAGAGGAAAGTGAATATAAGTGAATATAATGAAATTTGATATATGTTTGACAATAAAAGTATGTGTTGTATCTAAGTGTTGGTATTTGAACAAGGGCATCGTACGCTTAGATGATGATATATTTGGATATTATGACGATTTTTACCCAAGCTATATTGATCGTTGAGATGTAGGGAAATGATGGAAGAATAAGAGTTCTGGTATTTTGGTACAAGATATGAGTAATGATTTCTTGTATGAAATGAGATGGTGTTGTAAGTTTGCTCATGTGATGTATTGAGCTTTTCCTAATGATGCATTTGTCATCCAGTTTTATTCATTTTCTTTTAATCTTGATATAGGTGTAGAGATTTCGTTGAAATCGTTGCTGGTAAGAAATTGATGTTTGGGAACGTGTGTAATGTAATTTTTGGTGCTTATGATGTAAGCGTCCTCTTGTGGTTCAATGTTAGGATATTCTGACCTGGGTTAAGATATACATGGCTGGAAATTTTATCTCGATCAAATGTGTGGAAAAATCATATTAAAGTATACCTCAATGCAAAGCCAAATGTACGGTGAAACGCAAGAGTCACGAAGACGAGTGCAAGTAGGACTAAAGATTGGAAAAAATAAGCTGAGAAATTGAACGGGGCCGCAGGCCCATGCTGTTCGAGTCGGAAACAAGATTTCGGCCGCACGTAGGCACCTGTTTGATGTAGGCAAAAGGGAATCGCTATGCTACACACGGCAAGGATACGTTTAGTTAATTGTGCTGCCAAAGGAGCATGCCACTGAAGTTGGATGAGAAACTCAGACTAGAATTTAGAAGTAATATGGGAATGTGAGTATTTATTTGATCAGCTCAATCACTCACATCAGCCTTTCGTTGAGCGTTCGAGTGATACTGTATTGTCTATGATGGGGTATATTTCAAGTAAGGAGGCGGAATATCATTATAACTGATTTCTTTCGATGCTTCTGTCATTGCGATCTAAACTTTGTAGTTAGAAGTAAACTTCATATGAGATTAGACTTGAGTGAATTGTGAATCGATGGAGACTATACATAGGAAAATAAATTATTCTTTTAGCGTGAAGAAGATACATTAACTTGAAGAGATTCTTGAAACAGTTCCGTGTCATATTGAAATTATCATACACAACACCGGGTTGTAACAATACTAAATACAAGATGGTATACTGTAATGAAGGAGGCAAGGAATTCGTATATCTTAGAGACTGCACAATATCACGTTGTCCAAACTCTCTGTGATGTTTTTGATGCTCTCGCATGGTAGAAGTTTTGGTTGCGATGATAAACCACAGTTTGGTGCTCACTATAGTAAGCAGCATGATACGGACTACAGTTTTGTCCAACCTCGGGTGTTGTAGAGATAATTCAATTTTTGAGCGAAGTACATAAGTCTTACTTGTTCCTTCCGATGTTTCTAATCGGAGAATAAATTCTTTCTCATACTATTCATCAGAATTGATAGTAATTCTTTTCATATTGCGTTCTCGCTGTAAAATTAGAAAAATCACTGAAAATTATTTGAATTTTCTGGTTTCTTAGAAGAAATTATGGAAAAATAACCGTCTTGTTTTCCTCTTTATAATTCGATTTCAATATTAAAATTTATTTTCAAAATAATGTCAAAAATAATCTTAGTATCTTCGCATTATAAATCTGGAAATCGATAACCCGAATAAATTGTACAACGTCATTCAGATTGAATCAGTGCATGAAAGGGTCATTCGAAGAGTGTCGAAAGAGAGGGTCAAAAGATGCCGTGGAGGAAAACGCAACTCAACGCAGTCAAAAGGCAAGGTTAAAAGGGGGGCACCGTAGTAGCCCGTAATACAGTACACATGATTAGGGCAAGGCCCGAAGCGAAGCCCGAAACAGGAGAAGAAGAAACTCAGGTTCTAGAACGCTCTTGGGAAGGCAAGGGAAGAAGGAACGAGAAGAGAGGAGAAGCCACATCAGAAGCAGAAAAAGAGCCAGGGGCCTGGCGAAGCAGCAGAAAGCCTACGACTGCGTGCGTGCCCTTTCCTTCCTTCCTTCCTTCCTTTCTTTCTTTCTTCCTGTTTGTTCGTTGCTGTCAGGTTGCGTTTCCACCTTCTCCTTCTCCCTCGAAGGACCCAGACGTTCCAATTGGTTGTTGTGCATTCTATGTCGATCTCCAGCTCCGCTACATTCCCCGGCGCCGCGCTGGTGTTGCTGCATCTGTGTCCTTGATAGCATTGATCCTCTTTCCCCGTTCCTCCTCTCAGGTGAGTGAGTGTGACCCTTGGTGTGGATGATCTGGAGAGCCTGTGTACTCGACCAATTTCGATGAGCGCTATGAGATTTTTATGTTGTTCGGCCTGCACTCTGCAGAGTGTGGTTCCGTCGGGGTCTGGTATTTTTTAATCGCCGCCTGTTTTGGCTGGTGTGAATAGCATTGTTTTGGTATGGTCATGAGTCGCTCCGGTGCTGTTCGTCATTTTGAGAGTCGGAAGCAGAATCCCCTTGGGATGTTCTTGCTTCCTCGACAAAAACCTGTTAGTTTTTTAATTCTGTTTCCCAGTACTGGGCATGGTCTGGTCTGGCTTTTTGTAAATTTACCTTCGAATCATGGTGTAGTTGCAGCTGATAGTTTTGATGTCAAAGGGAGGGTCACTCAATTAAGGCTAAGATGGATATCCGACGTCGTACGGTTTGGCAATGTTTTGAATGGACGATGTCCCAGTGGGTGGTTTCCGACTGGCTGAAAATTTTACTTTTTACGTTCCATGTTCTTCCGATGAATCGCTACCTTGCTCATGTTAGCAAGCCAATATTACGGAGTTGTAGTTGAGGTCTAACACATGCGTCGCAGCCTCATAGTACCGATCATATCTTGTGGCATTTTCCTCCTGAATTTTGACAGGATGCATTGTGGACATATGTTCATGTCTCATGGATCGGTCAGCTTCTTGTACTGTTGCCAGATTCGTTAGTTGGACTTTCTCAGGAAATTTAGATTTTGATCACATCTTACTTCCGACGTGTAAGTGTGGGCGGCAGATTCTCGATACTTAAATTTAACAGCTGATAAATCTATTCGTAGCGGTCCTTGAAAACTTGGCTTCATCTAACCAACAAACACGAGACACCCAGGCAAGTGATGTAGAGCCGCATGTTAAAGTTCCCAACTCATGATTGTTTTTGCCTTGTTGTGGAACAGATCATCTCGAATTTCGTCTAGGTTGGGATATTAGGAATGGCAGCCGAGGCGAAAGCTAAAGGAAATGCCGCATTTTCAGCAGGCAGATTTGGAGACGCCATAGAGCACTTTTCAGAGGCCATTACTCATGCACCAGAGAATCATGTTCTCTACTCCAACCGTTCGGCCGCTTTCGCTTCCCTTCAGAAATATGAAGATGCTCTTAAGGATGCAGAGAAGACTGTTGAGCTGAAACCCGACTGGGGAAAAGGATATAGTAGACTTGGAGCCGCCTTCGTTGGCCTTGGGAAGCACGAAGACGCAGTTGGTGCTTACCAGAGGGGTTTAGAGCTTGACCCTAATAACGGAGCACTGAAATCCGCTCTTGCTGATGCTCGAGCAGCAGCTACAAGGGCATCGCGAACACCTCCTGTAGGCGCCGGGTCTCCATTCGGCAACATTTTTCAGGGTCCGGATGTTTGGGTTAAAATCCAGAATGATCCCACAGCAAAGTCATACCTGGCGCAACCAGACTTCGTGAAAATGCTCCAAGACGTACAGAGAAGCCCCAGTAACCTTAATCGGTACATCAGTGATCCTCGAATGATGCACGTTCTGGGAGTCCTCCTCGGGGTTAATATTCAAACCCCTTCAGCGGAGGATATGGAGACGATGAGGTCGGAAGATGAGCCTGAAGTAGTCCAGCAGACACCCAGGTCACCTCCAAAACCGGCAGAAGTAAAGAGAGAACCTGAGCCCAAGAAAGAACCCGAGCCAGAGCCAATGGATATCCCCGACGAAGAAAAGGAGAAGAGGGAGAGAAAGGCCCAGGCTTTGAAGGAGAAAGAATTGGGTAATGAGTTTTACAAGAAGAAGCTATTTGATGAGGCTGTCTCCCACTACACTAAAGCCCTGGAGTTATACGACGAAGACATATCATTTTTGACGAACAGAGCCGCTGTGTATTTGGAAATGGGCCAGGTATGCGGCTGTGTTCTACACGTAAAATTGGTTTCTTTATCGGACATTATGGTTTTAGAAAATTCTCTAATTGACCACTTTTTATCGATGGGTTGTCATGCAGTACGAAAACTGCATCAAGGATTGTGACAAGGCGGTTGAACGAGGTCGAGAAGTCCACGCAGACTACAAAATGATTTCAAGGGCTTTGACGAGGAAAGGAACAGCGTATGTAAAGCTGGCAAAATGTTCAAAAGACTACGACATAGCTATTGAAGCTTTCAATAAGGCATTAACAGAGCATCGGAATCCTGACACTTTGAAAAGACTGAACGATGCTGAGAGAACGAAGAAAGAGTTAGAACAACAAGAATACTATGATCCCAAGTTGGCCGACGAGGAGAGGGAGAAAGGTAAGTCCAAGTTCAACACGTTTTACTGTTGAAGAGGTGCGCAATGTGATTGTCGTGTGTTTTGAGACATGGAGAAGAAATAGACCTAATCGATATAGACTTGTAAGTTGTTTGTCATGGAAATGAAGCACATAAACTGTTCCTATCTACTTCGAAATCAACCTGTCCAAGCAGGTCGCATGGTATACCACTCAAAGGCTGTGGCAGAGATATAATCGTTGGTGTTCGGTGGGATTTGTCCCCCCAGAGAGATTCCAGGGCTTTCTTTCTAGGCCTTTCATGCTGTCCACATCGTTAATCATCATAGTTCGTCCTTTGGTTCATCTGGCGAGGGTTTTACCTTCCCTAATAGCTCAGTTGGATATGAATCTTCCGGTTCCTTTAACTGACAAAGGACCTTGTGGGACTGTAGGGAACGACTTCTTCAAGAAGGCTGACTACCCCGTAGCTATTAAGCATTACACTGAAGCCCTAAAGAGAAATCCAACAGATGTCAAGGTTTGCTTTCTCCAAAAGCCCTTTACTTATATATGAACGGCCTGAGGAGATGTTTTTCTTTGTAATCGGTTGTGTGATTTTTTTTCGGATGTCCTGCTAATATAGTATTACTATGGCCATAGTATGTAGTATTTTTTATCACTCACTCAGCGTGGCTCTTTTGTGACATCATTCTAGGCTTTCAGCAACAGAGCTGCGTGCTATACCAAGCTAGGAGCACTGCCTGAAGGACTGAAGGATGCAAACAAGTGCATCGAAATTGATGAAAAGTTTGTGAAAGGATACTCTAGGAAAGGAACTATTCAATTTTTCATGAAGGAGTATGACAAGGCTTTGGAAACGTATCAGGTTAGTAAATTCTTCTTGTAACATTCCAATTTCGTATAATGCTACAGCCGATGCGTCAATCAAACTTACTCGATAACTGCAAGCTTGCGTTGTGTTTAGTCTCCTTATCTTGTGGTGTATGTCGGGATCAGCTTTCCACGTGATGTTTGTTTCCATCATACTTACATGTATAATGCATTGTGTCGTGTAGATTGGTCTTAAGCACGAACCGGAGAACCAGGAACTGCTGGATGGCGCTCGGAGGTGAATTTCAGTAATTTCTGTGTCATTACATTGCAGTTTTCCTATTAGGTCCATCCTGTCTGTGGATGTGCTTCCACCTCATGTTGATAAGGAGGAATATGTGTATGGCATCAGTGGCTATCAAGGATCAAAGTTCTAGAAGCCATTTTACGTCAAAGGAATTGTGCGTTTGGTTTAGCAGGTTTTGGAGTATTTGTGTTCTAAGGTACCTCTACCCTAACTAATCAAAAGGTGAATGCGGGCATGACAATGGAATATAAGTATTTTTCGGAATCGGAAGGGAGCACTACACTGAAAGGTGTTAAATGCCCAGGATATAGGAGGAAGTTGCTGTTTACTGATGTAGTTTATTACTGCCTGCACGCAACGTTATTGGCAGATGCATTGATCAAATCAATAAGACCAACAGAGGTGACATTAGCGCAGAGGACTTAAAGGAGAGACAGGTGATTGTCAAAATCAATGACCATATGTTTCTAATTCGTTGCCAAGCTCTTGTTTGCACTTTGTGAGCAGATCTTTCGGTTTTGTATGCTGATATTAACTTTGTATTTTCTCTGACAGGCCAAGGCCATGCAAGATCCAGAAATTCAAGGAATCCTTTCAGATCCTATCATGCGCCAGGTGAGTTTTGAAACCGATAATGAAAGTGAATTTAACGTGTGTCCGTTTGAGTTCTGTAGGTGATATCATCAGTGGTAACCCGAGCAATTGGTCTTTTTTAGTACCGAAAGCGGAAATCTTCAGTTCCAGAAGTCGTCATAGCTTTGTACAGGGTGCTGCAAAAAGCTCAGTCTTCTACCACTCTTGGTCTTACCTTCATTCTCGATTACAGGTTCTGACCGATTTCCAAGAGAATCCCAAGGCTGCACAAGAGCATATGAAGAACCCTATGGTAATGGGAAAGATTCAAAAGCTCGTGAACGCGGGCATTGTTCAAGTGCGTTGACCTTAGAAACAAAGGTCATACTCGGCCTGTTTGCGCACATGTTCAGGAGATGGTTTTCCTTAGCCTTATTCTGTAGATTTACTTCAAAGAGTTTTCATGCGTGATCGTACACCTCTTTCACTTGTTGCAAGTGATGGGCTCTTTTCAGTTTTCAAGAGCAGAGTTGTTGTAAGTGGAAAAGTGGGGACTGAAGATATATTTTGAGAATCCCATGTAAACTGCCACCGTATCTCAGCACCTATCTGTGGAGTATCACTTCCATCCAGAAATCTGATCTTGGATGTAGTCGTTGAGGCACTCTGTCACCCACAACCAGCTGGGACATGACTGTTTTTAGTATGATCATGGTTGGAGGTGAAATTGTGAGCACGAAGTTCTCGTTTCAATTGATTCCCTGTAAAGATGGGAATTTATCCCTGAAAAATGTTTTCCATCATCCAGAGTCCAGCGCGTAATGTGTATGTTTTTGCGAATGTACCAAAGTTCGATTTTCTACCTCCTGTACTGTGTAAATGTAATGAAATGTCGTATTCTCTTCTGCCACATGGTTGGCAGCCACATTGAGACTTGGAATGGACAAATGCGACTTCAATCTGATGCGTCGGGCAAGAGATGAGATAGTAATTACATGCGGATACGATCATGATCAACAGTGATATGTATCTTGATTTTTGCAATTGATGTTCTCTTGCAACGACTGGGCAGACGAGTCGAGTTGACGACTATCTTTCTGGACATCGCATGCCTTGTGTGTATTTGAGAACCTATTATGATAAAAGGCAGAGTCACTCGTCAGCATGATATGATACCATAACTATGTCTGTTGGCCTAGGACATTTGTTCTGTTTGCTGAACCGGAATGAGAGGGTCATGCTCTCACAGCAGCAAGTGGATCAGCTGCAAGAACTTGCATCTACAGGACAAACTTAGAACTTGAGCACTTGGAGCTCATTCAATGCGTGTCACACGGTGGTGCACAAGACTAGGACATGGATCGGGTTGGCGGCTGCAGCGAGCTTCAAGCTTCAGGCTCTGTTCTAATTGCCACAGGCGAAGAGCACGTGCAATTTGCTCATGTGTTACGAATCCATGGTATCAATTTGCCAATCGTGTGACTCAAAATTGCTTCAATCTCGACCTGTGGCCAATACCGTACGCCCAATATCAGGACGAAAGTCCTCTATCCTGCATCGGTGCGAGGAACTTTTTACCGATGTTACAACAAATTGGGAATGCATGGTGACTTTTGATGTCTCATGTACTCCTCAATCAAGTTGACTCAAGTGCAAAGAACTCATTTGGTTCATTTGTGGACATTTTGCACCTCATGAGGTATAAATGTCTACGACATGCAGCTGAAAGAGTAAGGGGAAAATGTCTCTAGTCGTTGCCATAGCCGAGAGGTTCTTCTCAGGAAGATCACGTTGCATGAGGGTTTTCCCCGGTGACCTTGAAGCGCAACCCTGCTGTGGCATACGCAAAACCCTAGTTGGGATGTCGGGAAGATGTTAGCAGTAAGCAGACGAATCAAGAGTACGGTGCAAAGACTGGCTCTTGGTGAGATGGGTACCTTCCATCTCAAAATGACATGAGTACGAAACGAGATAAGAGGATGTATTAAGGTTTGCAAGCGAGCTCGTTTCACACTCTGTACCTTGGCGACGACGCACTGCATGAATTTTGGTTGAAGGCTCCGCGAAAGACCTTATTCGAGGGATGAATTTTGGTTGAAGGCTCCGCGAAAGACCTTATTCGAGGGATGGCAGCACAGGAGGCCGCAAATTGGGCACTAGCTTGCATCAGACCTGCACCACCTGGATCGCCTCCATTCTCCACCTTGACAGATGATCAGATTCTGGCGCTTCACTTTCTGTTCAACAAAACTCTGGACAAGGCGGTGCGGATAATAGAGCAGGGAGGAGTGTACCGACTTGTGGCTGAACCGAGTAGACGAGAGGTGTTTCAGGTGATGGGGAATCCGAAAGAAAATCAGCACTACGTGTGTTTCCCCGAGCATTTCTGCTCGTGCCATGCGTTTTTCTTCGACATCGTATCTCGAGGTCATCAAATTTGTTGCAAACATCAACTGGCTGCAAGATTAGCAGCAGCTCTTCAGGTCTTTAAACCGATCACCGTCACCGACGTTGAACTCACACAGCTTCTACTGGACATGTGAATTGGGTCATCGTCCCACATCAGATTCTGTTCGGTTCACCAGGTCCAGAACCTAAGGATCGAATTCGAACGACGATACACATTTGACATGGTACATGGTGCCGGAGCGGCGACCTAGACGCCAGGTGAAACTCATCTCACGCCTTGTAAGAAATCGGTCAACAAATCTTACCGTTTCTGAAAATTATGCATGCAGTTCCGCCAGTCACACTCATTGGATCGAGGCAGCTGGCGCAGACACTTACAGGCCCCTCTGGATCCCGAAGAGGCTCACCAAATGAGGCCAATGCTTACGAATCCAGATCAGCGCAGCCTCCAGAAGTAGGTCACTTCTAGTCACAGGACTGCCAGTCGAAGAACAACCAGTTGATGACATTTTCGATCGGTGGAAGTCAGTCCATTCACTTCCTGAGTATGTGACTGAAGGGTTTTGTAATTACGAACAGAGCCTGAGGATAAAACCAGTGAAGAACTTGCACTGCACACAAACTGCCACACCGACATCATGTCCTGCTCTGCTATGCACTACTAACTCCAGAACACAAGTCGTACATGCTGTGCAGATTCTGCGATGTCAAAGTCTGTGCATGTCCTACACCCTCGGCCTCGTAGTATGTACGCCCACACCGTAAGACATGAATTGTACTGTTTGAACAATGATGATCAGATAATTCTCAGCTGAAGGGTTGCGTTGGAGGCACCTGAATCCGAACAGAGCGAAGAGGATCTTCTGTAGAATGAGGCAATCTTTTTGTCGCCTGTGTATGACTAACATGTAGCCTGAAAGTTCTCATCTGATAATAAACAGAGACCAGATTACGTGCTGCGGACAACCTTTTGCACAAGGTGGTGTTTCTTGCAGTGCATGTTCTGCTGGTACCAGTGATGGAGCTAATCTGCACAGGTGAGAGTGATACAACATCATTTCGTCATAACCTGGGAGGAATTGAGTGCCAGCTCGCAATGAAGACAACGCTAACATTGCGACTTGCACTGCAATGAAGGAAAACCAATTCTCTTGTTCGTGAATACCATTCTGAATAGTGGTCTGAAATCAGGAACATGCGAAGTAAGTAACAAGGATTTGGATCATGACGGGTTTGCTACATACAGTAGTTAGATTTCGAGGTCTAAATGCATACCTAGTTTATCGATGATTGTGATTTCATATTATGATTAAAATGCTTTAGTTATATGCCTCTGTGATTGAACTTAGAGATCAAATGTTTTTATACCTTTGAAGAGCAACGAAATGCCAATGTATTTGATGAAGAGGCTGTAACCAATCATAATCGTTTACAACCTATCATTGTTCGCATATACATATCATAATCCAAGAGCTTCTGTGACTCTCCTTTGTCAGTGCAATGGCTACTCGTTATCAAAGCTTTAAAACAACCACTGTTGATCATATCCAATTCCAACACATAACCTCGGAATTGGTTTTATTTATCAAAACCAACCGCGTGAATGGCTAATTTGTAGAGAATTCAAAAACTACTAGAGCAGACTCAATTCCTCCATCTATACCTTTTCAGTCGTCTGGTTGATCGTACTTCGATCAAAAGTTGAATTAGCGTATCAAAATTATCATTTAACTGTTCGGGCATCATCGGTAAATGACGACTGAAATGTCAGTTGGACAACTGATATTTCGGTGGTGTAAGACGTTTCTAGTCATGGGATTCAGCCAAAGCTTATTTCAAAAATCCGCTAAGAATCTTGAAGCAAACGGCATCACAGAGCAGAGCTTGCATACTTAAGAACCGAACTGGAGCGAAGCCATTTCACGGCAGGCAGGCAGCATCATGGCACCTGCGATCACAGATGCGATGATCTGTTTGCGTTTTGTACCGAGGAGATTCATCTCCATGCTACAATGCCAAATAACGAGAACAAGAATTGCGGAGTTGTCGTTGATACGGAGAAACACTGAGCACACAGTGCACAAATGTGTCGCCTTCCTCTTCCACAATCCAGATTGAGTAATATCTGAATGAGATATCCTGAATAAGCAGTAAAAGGTCACATGCGGAGCTCATTCACTTCCCCCCTCGCAACCCATGTCCCCTCAGCACCGTGCAGTTGTTATATGTGCTGCAACTGGAGAGTTAGCTACCAATGCTGGCCTCGGCTGTGTTATCATGTTTTCTCATTCATAGCCATATCAATCTGAATGAATTGCGAGTGACTCGTTGAGCTGTGCACGTGAGCAAGGTTCTTTGCAGAATCCACAAACTTGAGACGAAGGTATATATTTAAGCTTGACCTTTCGGAGTCGAGGCCTGGATTGATGTCATTAATATAGTCCACTCGAGCATGTACAGTAAGTACCAGCGCATACGAGTGGATCTTTTTGTCATCATGCTACATTATCATCAGTAGGTCCACAATAATCTTGGCTCCCGTCGGAGCGTTTCAGGCATTCCTGCTTGCTCGAGTACAGGGTTTAAGCATCGGCGAGACGATGCATGTTGGGTAATTCAAGACCGTGAGATGAGCTACCATCATCTTGAACTTCCAGTAGCTGCTTCTAGAACCTTCAATTAGTGTTGGTCCATGATCCATTTTCTCGGTGGATTGGAACTCTTTTCATGTGCCAGATTATCCGATTGTATCGTCGTCGTCGTCGTCATCATCGCAGAATGCCGATGGCAGAAACTCTGAAGTGAAGTTTAGATCTCCGAACTAACTACTTGAAGCTGATCATCCTCAGTACGCACCTGCTGATTTTCTATCAAAATGAGGATCCACCTCAGTGAATGCATAGGCATCATGACTTCACAGTCCAGACCCCTACAATACGTACTGAAGACAACACCTAGACACTCTTCAAACGCTCCACCCTCTGATTGCTAATCTCACCCCGGCAACTTAGTTTTGCTGCAGAGCGATTTTCTCCAAGGGCTCACTGAAACTGCGCAACCTTGAACTCGACAGCCACTCCATGGATTCAAAATCTGGAGCTGCTGCAGGGAATGCCGAACTTATTCACCAGATCAGTGAAGTTCTCTCTTCTCCAGCTTCTCGGCCACTCCTGATAAGTAGCCCACTATAGCCTGCCCCATGTATTCTAGCATGTACCCAAACCACAAGGTCACACCCGTATACTGCCACCGAACCATCTTCACCAGCACCGTGGTTCTGTCGTCGCCCTCGGCCACAAGCACGTTGTGATCGACTGGATAGCTGCAAGACGACCGCTTCCTCTCGAGCTGTGCATCCTGAGACATTTCTACGGCCTTCTTCATTTTCACATCCATCTCCTCGGTGGCTGCTGATTTCAATGGAAGACAGTTCCACATTCTGTCTGAACTGTCGGATTCTCGAAATGCTTTATCGTCGTACTAAAACCTCCCTCGAGTCGGGCACACGTGCAGCTCCTCGGCTCTGGCAGGAGACAGAAATCTAGAACAGAAGCAGGAGCAGAAGCAGTCCCAGAAGCTCTAACCACAGTCCGAGTCAATCGGCAATCTCGTGGCTGCTGCCGAAGTGAGCCCAGAAGAGGTCGAATTCGTCCTCGTCTGGATGATGCAAGCGGCGTTCGTCAGAGCTGCTTGATGGAGCGCGGCCCTGTCGCTTATTTTCTTTAGTTATCGGATCTAGTTATGTTTTCGAGCACAACGGCATGTTCTGGGCAGTGATCTCACCACGATCGAAATGCTTCCTCTCTAAAAAGAACAAAATTGTAGTAGCAAAGCCAAGAAAGCTCTCACTCTCTTCTTCTTCTGTAAAGGTAATCCTGAACTGAGTGACTCGTTCTATGCGATGGTTGCCGATGCCTCTTCCTCTAGAAATCCAGCCGATCCAAGCTAAAGGGAACTGCCTTCTGATCCTGTCTGCGTCTATCTCTCTCTCTCTTTCTGGACAGATCGAATTGAGACGGAGCACTCAGGCTCTCTTATACGCGATCATCCCTCAGCTTACTGTCGGATGATCTAGTGCAGGCATGTAGTGATCCAGCAGTCCAAGAATCTCTACCAATCTTGGAAGGGTTGGGTCGAGGAGCTGTCAATCGTGAGCAGTAGATGGGAAACATTCTGCATGGAATCTGACGTACGCAATTACAACGTCCAATGCTCTCATATTCTTCGCCTTCTTGGCCCCCGTGAAATCGTGCAGCAGCTTTGGAGTACATTCGAGACAAGCGTATCTTTACCCGCTGGTGACTCGCAAGAGAGAAGGCTGGCTGGGCTGCAATTTTACAGCTCCATGGGAACTCAATGGTTGCTATCTTTGCCTTGCGCTCCTAGGATCTTTCTCTTGAGATTTGGAGTTTTGAGAGATGCCCTTGACAGCACATCTACAGGTGCAAATTTTGCAGCTGCCCTGTGATTAGCACAACCAAAATCCTAATGAGCCATATGGCGGAGTCACACAATCGAAAAGATAATTTATTTCATCACATTGCTCTGAGATTTTGTCGGCTTCGTTTACTTTCGTGTAACATACACGAAAGTATTGTTGGATTATTGTTGAGAGCCTCAAGGTAAAAGAATTCTTCATTGGCGGACTCTGATGTTTATTCAGTGCCTGGGCAGGGTATACACACAGCAATACAGCACAGCTTTCGGGGTGCCCAGACTTGATGAAAACGCTGCGAAGATGGTCTGAGCCCAGATGGTTCTCCGGTGATGTGAGAAGAGTGCGAATACAGCGAGCAGTGCGAGTGCTCCTCCGATGTGACCGATGCCTCCCTCGGCAAACAATGGTTAGCTGAAGGCCCAAGAACGCGCGAGAAATGGCACTGCGACAGTCATGGCTTTTTCTTTCTCCCCTCCTCTCGAACTGGTTAAAGGTCAAAAAGTTCTAAAATTAAGCTCCATGGATGCTCTGCTGGTGGCATGCAAAGGTGAGCTGATTCGCAGGGTGACGATGATCATCCCAGCCTCGACGTCAGCTGCAGCTGTACATGCACGTACTTAGCCCCGGCTTCTAAAGTTCCAATCCTAAATGTCCCCTTTCTAGCGTGTGGTAACCTGTTCGCGGCTCTTGACATCATCGAGAGCTACTGCGAGAATACTGCAGTTGCTCGTGGCCCACTCGGTGCGACAACTCGTAAGACGATGTGGATCTGCATGGAGTTGTCTCACTGTGATCCTCATGGGCCCAAGGGCATGAGATCACCGTACACCCTACGCATCATCAGCACACTTGACCTTCAAAAGGGTCACGATCCACAACACCTTAAATCAGGTCTTGTATATAACACACATCTTGTGGCGATGCGCTTTGGCTAGAGAATCTGACAAACGTAAAGAATATCTTGAGTCCACTGCTTGGAAGGGATATGCTTCTTCCTTCACTAGCACATAAGTTAAGTTTCTGAGACCTCCATTTGTGGACGATCTGTCAGACTTAGCTGAAATCAAGTGCTTGTATTACCAAGGCTTGGATGCACCAATCTGAGAGGTGCTTGTCAGTATATCGCTGCTGCTTAACCCAGACCAGCAACGGCAAGGGACGTTCTCACGCATCAGCTTGATCTGTTATTCAGCTTCGAATATTTTCGTCAGGTCCACAACTCTCGGCGAGCAGGTCCATACTAGAAATCACCGCTAGGGAGCTCCTATCGTGCATTTATGAATGTCTTTTATAACCACTCGCTTAGATTGGAAGAAAAGCATCGTCATGAACCTGCTCACTGTAGTCTGGATTATGTGAAGCAGAATTGCACCGATAGTGCTGCATAAGTGAATACAGGAAACAAGCACCGAGAGAGGATGTCAATTTGACTAAAGGTATCTACATGCCTTCGGAATCCGGAATCCGTGACAGATATCAGCAGCAGTCGCTCAATATCGTCAAACACGAAAGGCAATCTGGATGAGGATACATGCTAAAACTAAAGGGACAGTACTAGCACAGGGCGTGTGTGGTCGGGCCAGTCCGGTCACCACGTGTTAGATATGACTATCACTATCCCTTAAGGACATGGACGTGCTCATTAGCCTGACCTCGTGTTTAATAGCTATCGCAGTACCTTGCCTACATCTGCCTACCTTGACTCAATTGCTTGATCTTTCAGTTCATGCAGTAGTGTACAGAAAGCTTCTACTTTCTTCACTTCGTGCATTGAAATTGAGTCATACAAGACTTTGAACTTCAAGAAGTTCGGTTAAACTGAAGTGACGAGCTCAGAGGTTCGGGACTGACAGTAATGAGATGCTGTTTATCGCCAACCTACAACTCTGCAATCTACTGGACTGAGTCATACATCGATCAATCCCATTTACAAGCGATTCTCTCATCATATAGATTGACATGAAAGCTTTTCTTCATGATATTCAGAGTGATGCAGGGAAGATTGTAAGGAGCCAGTGACACATCCAGTTGACATTTGTGTACATGACAACCGCTCTGTCTTTAAATCGCTTACATAGGAACTGCCATGCGCAGCGGGTGGGCAACGAACTTAAGTCCACATGGACGTGAGCGACCAGGTCGATCTCAACATCTCGAGCAGAGCTCTCTCAGCCTCGGTGCAACTGTGTTCGTACACAGCCAGAATCTTAGCATGGGTATGATCTATGGCAGCCTTGTATTCATTGACTGACAAGCCTGGATCTTGTTTGGCAAGCGTTCCAAGTTTTGTAAGCATGTAACCTTGGCCTGCATTGATAGCTCCGCAGTGTCAGTGTCCATCAGATCTCAACAGTTCCATCTCACGCGACACATTGAAGCTTCTTCAGGTGGCGTCTGACATATGTTTCGGCCACTTGCCGATCAGAGCCTCGAGGCACCAGCATCGACCTTCAAACGGAGGACTATTTCCACGAGGAAGTTCGTGTCCAAGTCCTTGCCTGACGTGCTGTGCATGGTGAGCGAGCAGCAACGTCGGCAGATTCTCTCTGGTCTGTTGCAAACGGCGGACACGAGGATATGGGGGCCGAGATGGACCGCCGTCCACCGCATGCACACAAACCCCGCTCGCTCTCGTGTGGAGAAAATTCCTTTTCACGTGCTGTGCAAACGAGCACGCATTGTCAGCCCTCGAGGGCACTGATAGAGAACAATAACAGAGTACCCATTATTGAAATCATCTGCAGCGTTGCTCCAGTTGGTGACGGAGACCTCTTCCGTTGCATGTACTCCGGCATGGCCATTTTTCCGCGCAAGGATGGGTCTATTGCAGACGAGTTTGAAAGCTCTTACATCAATTCTAGCCAGCAATGTCAGTCGTTCTTACAGTCGGAAATCCAGGGCAGCATTGATCCATCTCGGACAGAGTCCACAGTTTTTTCAGGAGTGGGAAAACGGTGACGGTGGCACTTGCAAGTCGTGGAAGGACTTAAATTTATGTTCATTCATTGAGAAGGCGCCACCGCGTGGCAGTCAGAAGACAAAACGACATCAAACGGTAGATTCTAGCAACATTGGAATCTCAAGGAACGGGAGAGTATCGAACAAATCGTTGATTCCACATGTACAATACTTTAAACATGGCGAGCTTCGTCATCTGGTGCTCATCAATGACTCAAACCAATCACATCCAAGTACTTCCCGAGGACAAATTACGGTCTTAAGCTTGATCCGAGACCGAAATTAAATCCACTCTCGGTAGCTTTGATGGAAAGAGTTCGACTGATGCAATGACCAAAGGATTTGTGCCAGAAAGAAATGGTGGCACTGGCGAATACGGAGAGGTGGAGAATGCCAATGCTCTGAACGAGAATATTCAGAAAGTCGGAGAAATGATTGTGAACTGTAACGCAGGGTACAACCTCGATCACCTTCAGCTGTGAACAAGCTATGAAATTGTGAGTTGGTTTCCCCTTCTTCACAGCATAAAACCATCACGAAGAGCTGGGCCTGCTTCTGGTTATTCCAATTTGAATGCAACTGGAGAACCTTAGCTTCGGAAGCTATCTCAAAATCAGGACCTTTGAAACTTCCCCAGCTTGCCCGAGTTCGTTGAAGTCAGCCCACTCGGAGGCCTTCAGCGTCTCTACTTGATTGCTTTACGATCCTTACTCGGTCTTGTGTTACACAAAACCTTATGTTATTGATCTGAGCGATGTGAGTAAGAAATGTAGAATTTGAAATATAAGGCGGCTTTTCAGGATGACTGCATCTGAATGGTGTCTCTTTCCCACAATCTGTTCTCGGGACGTGAAGCAGCCTGTCAAGGTCGTAGTAGATTGCTGTTCCAGAGTATATAAAGCTCAGATCCAGTGTCTCTCTCTTTCTTCATGCAAACTGGTTCAAAAGTTGTGTTGGTAGGATTGCACATGTGTCGATTGAGACACTGAGGAGAAGGTCTAGTATGTTGGTGAAGAGCTCTAAGTCATTTGCACAGGCTGATCCCTTCCCACGAGATCTTTCTATCGACATGTCAATTGATACGATCGTGAACGATAGATAGGTCTAAATCCGCTATGATGTGGTCTGCCGCTCTGTCTGTGATAAGAGCCATACTTTACATTTTGGATAACATGCAGGCTTTGCCTCCTTAAGCATGTGAACCAGGCTCCATTTATTTGGAATCCTCCTCTCGTAGCTAGTCTGTTGGAAGACTCACTGCTGATATTTTCCATGCCCATCCAAAGCCGGTCCGCTGACTCTCCGGCCGGTTTTGAGCAGATTTCACCTCACCAGTCTAATTACGGCAATCTGATCCTACTCGATGATGAAGCGGTGGATGAGCATCCATCATACTTGGATTACCCACTAGCCCATAACTCGTGCCAGAAGATATGTGTATGGATCGTACTGCCGCTGCTGGCCAGGCAGTGCAATGCAATCAAAAGCCAGCAGACAGCGGGTGGGTCACTTGATGAAGGCGAAAGAGTACCCAGCGATCAATCGAACTCATTCGGTCGTAGCATGAATCGTTGGGTCTAATCTGCTCACAACTTGCATAACTCTCAAACCCGTTCTGGTACAAATCGATCCATTGCTACAAATCCCGGAGGTGCCAGTGAACATGCAAAGGTGAAGGCATACGGAAGGATCAGGATCTAGCTGGAGAGCATGGTGCTCAAATCAGGGGATGCTTTGAAGGTGCTGCTCATCCATCACTCACACACTCAACTCCTCGCAGTAGAACGCATCCTGTTACTTTCAGAAAAATGTCGTTAAAGTTGGAGGGTAAAGACAAGGAGGGCCCAGTGGCTGGCTGGCTGGCTGGCTGGCTGGCTCGTTCGGTTCAAGCTACGTGTAGCCATGGATCCAAGGCTGGCTTGCTGCACAGAGTATGGAAAGACTTTGGTCGCCGCTGCGAGGAATACGAATAGGCAGCAGCAGGGTGACAAAACGAGGTCGGAGATGGAACAAGGGGACAAGACGTAGAATGTTAGAACTCAGGGCATGTCCAGCTAAACCTTATCTGCATTGCTGGAGACGAATCCACTGCGGACGGTACAACAGTACTCGAGCACAGGAGTGTCGTTAGGCCCTTAGAATTCAGGTACCAATCTTCTGGCTAGAAAGTTGGGGTCCGTTCTGGAATCTGGATTTCTTAGAGGGCGTGGAGGGTGGAGGCACTGCACTGGCACAAGTGGGACCTTCGCATGGCTTTCTCAGATATTTACAAAGCCAGAGTCTCGTTGGGAAAAGTAGTGAAACGCTTTTTTTATCACATGGAATTTGAGGAGCCATGGTGGAGAGATTTACTGCTGCGCCATCTCACCAGCTTCCAGGACAGATGGTGGTTGGCCGAATGCGATCCGCCCAAACGAGCGTCACGTACCATTCCTGTTGAGCCGGTCGATCGATCAGGTGTACGCACGAGCCTTAATTGCTCTCGCTCGAACATTCCGTCGTATCGTGGGTTATGGACTGACATGGTTTAATTACTGTCTGTGTGTGGATGCGATCGTGAATGTGGAGGGGCCTTTTACGTCGCAATGCTTCTGAGCCTCAGCCTCAGCCTGCTCACAGCAGAGCTCCGGACGGTGTCTCGGCAGAAGGCATGGCTTGCACCCTCGTGGAAAAATTCCTAGATCGGATCCCAGTTAGTTACAGCAACGTGAGAGTCGATTCATCGGTTTGGGACAACGTGGCTTCGAGCAAAAATCGGCGACTAGGTTGAGATCCATCGCCCTCATGAAGCGCCGGGGGTCATGGTATACTCACATCGCATAGCATCACATCACATCACGTGAGCTCGTTCGAGCATCGATGGATGGATGGATGGATCGATCGAGCTGTTCACAGCAGTCGATCGAATGTGTGCATCTTTCTGCCTTTCCGACGATCATGCTAAACCGGTGCTTGCTTGCTTGCTGGCTCGCATGGAGTGTCGAGTCCTCTCCGCCCTTCCCTTTCTCGAGGATTAACATTTCTCTCGCTCCTTGATTGCGGGCCGCCTTGATTGATGGGCTGAGCCACAGTACTACCCATCCCTCGAATCATGACCGAAGTTCACCCAGTCAGTCCTTCCGAGAGTTCAGGGACTGTAATTTCCCGGACGAAATCCAAGCGGACCTTCGCTTTCACGTCCGCTGGCGTCCAGTCCAGTCCAGTCCAGGTCGACATCACCGATGTCGCCTTGAGTGGCGCTATGGCACCACCGCCAAGTCCACGAGTACGATGAATGATTGCAGTGGGTCCCCCGATCAGGGAGGCTGTCTGACAAGGTGCTGGTCTTGGGATGGTACAGTATGCGTATCGGGAACCAGACTACTGCGGCCATGGGGACCCGCAGGAATCTACTTGCTATGCTCACGTACTCGCCATCGCCAGTGACCGAGAGCAAGGATCGACCACTGCGCAAGTCCTGTCGTGCAGACGGTGCTGCAAGTGACCATAGGCCTGGGCATAGAATGTTCGGAGGGGAAATTCGACGAGAGGCAGGGCATAGAAGGATCCACTGGGCACGAGAAGATGGATGAGCTGCTCGTGCTCGAGACAGAGAGGGAGGAGGAACGAAGCGGAAAGCAGCAGCAACAGAGTGGACACTGAACCTGAATATACTTCAGGACATAGAAGAGCTTTATTTAAGAATCCAAATTCAGTAATGTATTTTGGTTGTTGTTGTTGTATGGTGCCAGGGGCTTGCGTGCTGGCAATACACGAACGGCTTAGAGCGTCAATCAATTGGATGAATAAAGCTTTTTCCGGTACAGTACTGGGACTTCCATGAGATTCCCGGTGATCAGATGCATCGAAGTACTCCTCCTTTCGTGTGGTGATCATCATCTCATCATCAAAGCGACCATTGCAATAGATCTATCCCAAACATTTACACTTACACGAGCGTCTACATGATTCTTCACCGAGGAGGTCGGAAATTCACACTCGCCGATTCCTACAGAAGTACTTTCAAAAAATAGGTTGTTTACTTGTTACACAGAATTTCTGGCATGCAGAAGCAGTCAGGCAGATCATCATATGTATCACACCCTACTACTCTCCAATACTTTCATCCTCTCGCCATGTGTGGAACTGATCGGCGGTGTAGTAGAATTGCACGGATTCAGCCGTCGGGAGCTCTCTGTCTCTGTCAGTATTCGTCTTGGTCGTCCTGAGCGTCGGTCGTATCGGCGCCGACCTCCTCGTAATCCTTTTCCAACGAGGCCAGGTCCTCTCGAGCTTCGGAAAACTCCCCCTCCTCCATTCCCTCGCCCACGAACCAGTGCACGAACGCTCGCTTCGCGTACATGAGATCGAACTTGTGGTTGATCTGCGAGAACACCTCTGCGACGGCCGTGTTGTTACTAATCATACACACAGCTCTCTGGACCTTTGCCAGGTCGGCTCCAGGAATCACTGTGGGTGCCTGGTAATTAATCCCGCACTTGAATCCCGTTGGGCACCTGCACCCCCACCCACTCAATCAATCAATCAATCCATCCATCCTTGCTCCATCTCCACAACAATCTCACCTCCCGATCACCATCACCATCAGGTCCCTGGGCATCGGTCGACCCACACAGCTCGAGCGCAATCGAGCCGAAAAGAAGAAGAAAATATTAATCAAAGAGAGAGATTGAGATTGAGAACGAACCAGTCAACGAATTGGACAGTGCGTTTGTTTTTAATGGTGGCGACGGCGGACTGGACATCTTTGGGAGTGAGGTCGCCGCGGTACATCATACAGCAGGCCATGTACTTGCCGTGGCGGGGATCGCATTTGGCCATCATGGAGGCGGGCTCGAAGACGGTGCTGGTGATCTCGGCCACCGACAGCTGCTCGTGGTACGCCTTCTCGGCCGAGATGACGGGCGCGTACGACGAGAGCATGAAGTGTATTCTCGGGTACGGCACCAGATTCGTCTGGAACTCGGTGATGTCCACGTTCAGCGCGCCGTCGAAGCGCAGCGACGCGGTGAGCGACGAGATGACCTGCGACACCAGCCGGTTCAGATTCGTGTACGTCGGCCTCTCGATGTCCAGCGACCTCCTGCAGATGTCGTAGATCGCCTCGTTGTCCAGCAGCACCGCCACGTCCGTGTGCTCGATCAGCGAGTGCGTCGACAGCACGCTGTTGTATGGCTCCACCACCGCCGTCGACACCTGCGACCATGCACTCATTCATTCACTCTCACATTCATCCGATCGATTTCTCGAACGCAAATGCAGATGCAAATGCACGTGCACATTTGGATTGGGTTCGGGGATTGGCACCTGCGGGGAAGGGTAGATGGTGAACCCGAGCTTGGATTTCTTGCCGTAGTCCACCGAGAGTCGCTCGAGGAGAAGGGATCCGAGACCGGACCCGGTGCCTCCCCCGACGGCATTGAACACCAGGAAGCCTTGCAGGCCCGTGCAGTTGTCGGCCAGCTTCCTCACACGATCCAGACACAGATCGACAATCTCCTTGCCAACTGCGACACGCAGCGATTTCAGTCACGGGCTGGTGAATCGATGGCTTAATGTATAGACGAGCTTGCCGGGAGTAATGGAATCGACTCGTGAGAACTCGTTAGAAGGGATGGGGATGGGGATGGGGAGGCGCAGTGCAGTGCAGTGCAGTACCTGTGTAATGTCCTCGAGCAAAATTGTTAGCGGCATCCTCTTTACCAGAGATGAGCTGCTCGGGGTGAAAGAGCTGACAGTAGGCGCCAGTTCTCACTTCGTCGATCACCGTCGGTTCCAGATCCACGAGCACGGCTCGAGGCACATGCTTGCCTGCCCCAGTCTCGCTGAAGAAAGTGCTGAATGCCTCCTGGTCTCCTGAACTGCTGGATCGAGGTGTCGCCTTGTCACTGTCAAGATCCAACACACATCCACATTATCAGAATCCTCTTCCACATGCCCGTCTGACCTCGTCCCCTCTGGAAAGGATCTGCTTCTCGAGCAGATAAGCTTTATAATCTGACACCAGTGTGCCAGAGCCCTGTGTGTCAGTCAGAACGAGCAGAGGGCAGAACCAGAACGTACTCCGCAACTTTGAGCCAAAGTAGCTCGAGACGCGAATGTGTTTCTGCGCTGGAGGTCGGAGGAGATGCATCGAATTCGCCACCGCCATTCTCCGCTGTCGGATTTGGGATATGCTCGATGGGCGGTGGGTGTAGAAGGAGTCGAGGAAACTTGGGAGAATGTGACTCGTTCTAGCGCAAATTTCACCGACCGAGCCAGCGATGGAGTAGTGCCGAGGAACTTGCGACGGACTATGAAGATCAGACTCTGCCTCACGAGGTGGAAGCTTTGGACGAGACGAGACGAGACTTACCCAGACGAGATGCGCCCATCGGGTTGAATGCCATGCTCGAGGCAGAAGAGCTCCCAACACGCGTTCCCAAGCTGGATTCCTGCCTGCCCGATGTGAATGCTGATAATCTCTCTCATTCTAAGTTGTGGAAATGTGAATGTCCCCTTCTGATCGAAAGCAGATCGATCAGTCTTCTCTCTCTATCTCTCTCACTCTCTCGAGCCCACGAACTTCAGACTGCGAGGATCTGAAGTGTGTCTCAGAAGAGAAGGCGAGAGGGAAGCACGCAGGCGAGCACAGACGGAAGAGGAGGAGGGGAAGAGAGGGAGAGGGAAAAAGAGAGAGAGGGGCTCTCAGAAACGAGTGCTCAGAGCTTTAAACGCGCCAATTGGAGAACAGGGAACTCTCCCTTACAGGGCAGGCAAGGCAAGGTCGGACCGAGTGAGCAAGATAGAGAATGAAGTTGGGGGAGATGGACGCAAAGGCTCAAGGGCCTCTGCTGCAAGACAGGAGGAAGAGGGAGGGGATGAAGCACAAGGAATATAGTGCGTCACTCACTGTCCAGTGATTCAGGGAATATGGAAACTTTTCTCCAGAGCTGGAGATGGACGGGTGCAGTAAGTGTGCAACGACGACAGTCACAGTCCCCATGACCGCTGAACCTCTTCTCATTCCATTTCTCCATCCATGCTCATCTTACGCCTCCATCCTGGCTGCCTGCCTGCCAGCAGGTCATGCCTAGCAGCCCAGCCAGCTAGTCCAGATGGACTGCGACGAGAGCCGAATTGGAAGTCTGAGGACGACAGACAGAGATGGCGACCCAAGTTTGCGAGGTACCGGGCTATTATTGTCAGTGAGCGCCATAAAGGTAAAACAATCATTAGAAATTGCCCCTTCCCTCGGATGAAACTTCTGTCGTTTCACTGCTGTTCCGTTTCCTTTGGACACTCAGTGAATCTCTCTTCCCCCGGCCCGCCCCCACCTTCTTTGCTCCACTCAGACAGTCCCCCCCAACCCCAGCCATGTTGCATCAATCATCCGTCATGGGTCCACTCACCCCAACTTCTCTTCTATTCTCCGCTCGTCCCCTCCCCTCGCTATTTCTCTGCAGTCGTGGGCTACAGTTTTCGCACAACTCACTCACTCAACGAACCTTAATGTTCTGCTGAGGCAGAGTGAGCCATGAGCATGCGGTAACTAGGTGAGAGAGTGAGTGAGTCAGTTCTCCACTGACTGGGTTGCTGCTGCTGCTGCTGCAGGAGCAGCTGTGCTGAAAGGTAGGGGCACGAGCTGTCTGCGAGGGGACCGACTGACTCGCGCTGGTCGCCTTTATTCATGGCCTTGTCCCAATCCCATCCCATCGCTTTGCCGTCGTGGAACCGCTGAGCCAGTCGCCCTGGCTTTGCTTTGCTGAGGAGGCCTTAGCCCTCCCCTCCGGCCCATGTCCCATTACCTGCTCAATCTCTCATTAGCATGTTGCCACAGCGACGTCCCGGCAAACCCAGCTGCAAAAGTTCTGATTCAGAGCGTCTTTTGGGTTCTTTGGATGGAGACATTGCCGTACGAGAATAAGTTATTCCCGAGGCGTGAAAGTTGATGCGCATTGCATTGCTTGGACCCCCACATCGATGGAGTACGCGCCTCGTTGCGGGCCTCGATGGTGCTTCGATTAACCACTTTGCATTCAATACATATTTATATGTCGTGAGGGACAGATGCATACCGTTCTTTTCAGCTGAAGCTCGAGAGAATGATGAAGATAATCATTAGCTTTGGAGATTCTATTTTGGCGAGAAAATTCCTCGAGTCAAAAGTCAACTTGCAATGAGGTCATCCAAACCCCATTCATTATCTACAATAATGGTCATTCCAGACCGACAGAAAAGGTCGTTTCTTGTGGTCTCAGTGCGGACGGAAGCACTAACCTAGCATCATTCTACCAAATTAATCCTCTCCGGTCGATAAAAATCAGTCAGAGGGTTACAGTACTGCCCCGATTCGTCGCCAGTATGGTATGTCTTACTGCAGTAGAAGTGTTGTGGTCCCCAGGGAGACGACGAGCCCTGCAGTCCGAAGCAACTGAGCACAGAGTCCATCACTTTCCCCCTGTACTCGGCTTTCTTTTTCTGAGTGCTGGAAATTTGGATCCATTTGATATTTACGGTAAGAAATGATTAGCGTCCATGGGCCTCCAAGTGCGAGTGACCCACAAAAAAGGGCAAAGTGCAGCAGCAGCAGCAGAGAGCCCTGTAATAAGGATGAGCTGAGCTGAGCTGAGCTGAGAGGATCAGTTTTGCTGGCTGTCTCGTTCGGTTTTACGTCCAGCAGTTATGTCCATGACGAACGAGTGATTAAAGTAGAGGCATGAATACTTTCCATCGACATCATGTATGATCAGGGGCCAGAGCATAGTGAGTACTGAGGAGCAGCTTCGAGAACTGTTCCAGTAGCATGGATGAGCTGAGCACATGCAACACTCAATCCTGCGCCTGCCACTGCCGTGTACGAGAGTGCAACATTTGGCACTCCTCTTGTCAGAAGAGACAAGCTTTCAGCAACCCCTTCCCGACCACAGTCCAGTACATGGCTTTAGATCACCTTTCACAGAAAATTAGTTTATCAGGAATTGCACCGGAATGCGCCAATTGGCAGCTGCCTCCGGCCATATAAATGGTCAAGACAAGCCTCTCGCATCTTTGTCTCCGCCACGCAGAGCTCGTTAACCCCCAGCCCCGCCCGCATGGCGAGCCCTCTTTCAGAAAAGACAATTCTGCCTACTTTAAGGTATGGCGAGGACAGGCTCGCCTCAGAAACGGCGTTCAGCTTCTTTTCGCTAAAAGTCGCACATGGGTCTACTCTCTGCTATCTATTGCCATAGCCAAACACCATAGCCGAGCCGAGCTCAGCTCCAGCTCCAGCTCGTCCAGCAGACGACTGTAAAGCACCGAGAGCAAATGCCGGAGTCAGAGAGCAGCGGTGACCCGAGCAAGCCCTCTCTCTCTCTCTCTCTCTAAATCTTCAAATCACTCACACGCCCTTTGCGGGATCGGATCGTTGCGGCTGCGGACATTCACCGCTGTGTTCTATGGCCTAGGAGATGACGCTGTGAGTGACTCGATGGCCGACGAAGAAACTTCTGATTTCCCTTCGCCCGATCGTCGGTTGGTTGGATCTTCGTGCTTTCGGCGAGATGGATGATTCATTCTCGAATGCATGAGTGAGGGAGGGAGAGAGAAAGAGAGAGTGATTGAGGGCGATTACGTGGTTCGACACCGAGCATGCATCATGGTGTAATCAACCGACAGCCCACCTGATTCATCGCCTGTGCCTCGCTGTCTCGCAGACTCGAGCTCCACCTGCATCCATGGATGGCATCATTGGCCGGCGTCAATGTGGGTGTGCATGGCTTTCCTTCCTTCCACTGCGTCAGGTAATCGATCGGTTAGCTCGGTCGAATTCGTGCCAAGCTCGCTCTGTCGTTTATTGGACTTGCGTGGTGCATACGCGGGAGGTTTTCAGGGCGTGCAGATTGGTCGTCGTGATTAATGCTCGAATGCAATTACACCTTCCATTCGTGTGTTTGTGATTAGTGCAGGGCATTCTTTGATCTCTCTCCATCCTCACACAGAAGAGTGTACACGAGATGCCAGAACATTCTCATTGGACCCAGTTGTGTTTTGTGGATTGTAGCGGAGGCGGGAGAGAAGCGAGAGAGGAGACTACAGTACTACTCACTACTCGAGGCTCGATGGACAAATGCACTACAGTGCTGCAAGAGGATGATCTTCGAACTTGTCTGCCTATAACTGGTACCACCCAGCAAGAAGATCCTGGTAGAACTTGAAATAGCAAGACACTGGGAGCACTCCCGGTCACACTTCAGGCTGTGACAGATGTATCCTGCAGAGACAAGAGTGAGATTGCAGAAAAGATGGGCCGCATGCTTCCCGAGAATGTCCGAACATGTTTTCATGACTAGGTCCGTGTCAGAATCAAACATGAGAAACATATACAGACGATCGCCCGATCCACAAGACCATTGTCACCGGCAACCATCGAAGAACTCGGGGGAAGACCCCCCGAGTTCTTCGGTAGTTGCCGTGGGGTGCTATGACAATTAGAGCAAAGGTGTCCGGGCCGAGAACTTTTCTTTGGCGGTCCTGAGAGGCTGTTCATTAGAATGAAGAAAACTGCGTCATCGTCCTCTGCGTTCGTCTAGAAGGGTTTTCGAGCTTCAGTGCCGCTTCTCCTAACCACGCTGTCGACCTGTATATTTCGTGTACAAGGTTGGCAGATTTTACTACAGCCGAACATAGATTTTAGCCCAGATTCCAAGCTGTGAGCTGTGAGCTTCCTTCCTTCCTTCCTCTGTACAAGGAGTTCCTTGACCAAACCCATTGTCTTCTGAGAAGTCTGAAGTATTAGGAGATAAGCGGGACAGTGACAAGGTCCTTTTCAGCGGGATGCACATCCAAGACATCTCACAGAGTGAAACGTAAGCGACTGTAGGCCACAATAGCTCGTGAGGTGCGTTTTATATGAAACGGCTTCAGCGTCCAAACAATTGCCCAATATGAAGGAACCGGATTATAACGGAGCTAGAACTTAATTCTTGCTGATTTCACTCACCTTCTCTGCCCAATGACGAAGGAGTTCCGAGGGAATATCATATGGTAACATGCACACATGAGTCGCAACAATCTACAATTGACCACCATACCACTGATGTGTTGCTACAAAGGACCAGTACTAGGCTGAGCGTTATGTTTGTCCTCATACTGAAGGCTCGAAAAAGCTGGGTTCGCATGAACCACTTATTCGGTTTCTTAAGTATTAGCAGCATTCTTGCACAAATATCAACATGAAAACAAAGACACCAATTGCACATGTAAACTTGATACAAGAAGGCATAAAGAGAGCAATAATCGATAGCTTATATGCAAATTTACAGGCTTTCTCCCAACCCACCGTCCAGTGTCACCGATGGGTAGTAAGAAAGACATTGAGACCTAGTCGTGTAACAAAAGGACATATGGCCCCAAGTTGAATTTAGAGCAGTTTCGCTGTTGATCTTGAACAAAAATATGCCCATCCTCCTCATATTGCAATAATTCTTACTAACTCTGCAGTTTGCTCACAGAATCCGCTCAGAACCGAGTCTGTAGAACCTGATTACAACTACCACGAGAAGAGTACTTTATCCTCTTCAAATTGTGATCCGGCAACAAATTTCTCACGAAGGTAAACAGACCAGGCTTAAGCTAGCTTTCAACAATTCCAATTACAAAAAGTGTCGTCAATAGCCATAGAGGATGAGCAGAGCGAATAGACTCCCGTGTTACTTCGACTAACTTTATGGTTGGGACGTGATAAAAGAAAAAGAAAAATTTGACGACACTCCAGGTACCTGACGAGGAGATATTCAAAAAATGTTGCTCTGTAAAGCTTGACCAGAGAACCCTTTTGTTCAGTCAGAGAAAGACGTAATCCCCTGAGAAGAATGCTAGTCACAGATCTTTCATTGTTCTGAAATCTAACAAGGTCACAACACTGCAAGGCAGTCGTACATTCATGCTTATCTTCGACGGCTACACCCTCACAAAACTGTAAAGTTGTTCCTCCTGCTACGGAACTGCCACTGGACTTGTTCCGCAATATATCTCGCTTCCCTGTTGCGGGAGGCGGAAGAAATATCCTACCGGTACGCAGCGTCAACATTTACCAAAATGGGCTCAAGACGAAGTTGTTCAGCAAAGCCTTCAAAAAGGACCTTCGTTAGCACTTTGAACTCACTCTTGTCGACTTGTCCACTCTTGTCAGAGTCTATCTCCTTAAAAAGCTCATTATAGAGCTCATTAACAGCCTCACTCTCTTCAGGGGATGGTAAACCCCATTGTGAACCCTGGTTCTCGAATAGAGGACGAATTTCATTCTTGGTCAACTTGCCGTCTTTGTTGGCATCCAAATCAGCAAAAATGTTGTCTGCAACCTCTGCCAGAGCCTTTTCATTTTCAAGCATCTGAAACAAAAGATTACAATTCTCATCAAGCTCTAGAGGACTCCAAGATCCCACTAAAATGTAAAACGGACACGAGACGAAGAACATGTGTCGCTACGTTCAGCTTTCCCGTCTCGCAAAGGTGACGGGTGGCATCATTGCCCTTATCCTCAGAAAGCAAAGTTTATCTTCAATTCATCTCGTGACCTACTTTAACGTTAAGACACAAAGATTTCCAACCGATTGATAGATAAATGACAACAAAATATAGAAAAAGACGTGCATGTGCTTACGTCGAAGAAAATATTAACATGTTGAGAACATGCATGTAACAATTGAAAATAAACCTCACAAAAAAACACAAAGAACATATGCGAGGTAACATCTTCCTACACATGAACTGATCTTCACGTACCTTGCGGATCTTCGAACCATTCAGAACTCTCACATCACGAACTATGATTATTGGTTGATTTGTCAGAGAATCAGCAAGATCCTGTAGGACTGTCTGTAGCAACTCGGCAAACTGTGCCTGACCTAATTCCTCAGAACCATCAGCCGAATACTTCTGTAGCAGCTTTGTAATCAACTCGTCTGCCTCCGGTTTAGCTGCACCGCACACATAAGTCAATTGTTTTGCGCCCATAACGTTTTACACTTCGGGATAAAGGCCTGAATTTGGAAAATTACGAGCCTCAAATGAAATGAGCAGCATCCTAAAAATGACAGCCATTTCAACCCAAACAAAAGCAGACTGGAAAGAGTTAAGTCGACGCACAATCTTTATACGGTAAAAAGAATCAGGCCTTTCTCTTGGTTCTCGTCAACCAGCAGATTTTTTCAAAAACAGACAGAAGCAGTGCTTCCAAGTAGGCACGAACTTAGAGCAACCAACTCGCACACAATAGGATCCGCGGTGAGATTTATGAAGAAAAACCCGTCAAGATGAATCACCTGAAGGAGGCGGAACTCCCTGCTCAAGACCCAGTTGCAGTACAGCAGGCCGAAGTTCGCTGCGGTTAAGTTTGCCGCTTTCGTCGACATCCAGGTCTGTGAACAAGTTCTCTGCCACCATAGCGAACTCATCCTCGTCATCCAGGAGAGCTCTAATGGTGGATCCATCCAACACTGAAACCACGATCGGTTCATCTGATCGGGACAAATGCAAGTCGTGGCATTAGAACATATAGACAATCCAAGCTAACGGCTTCAATAATGAACATCAAGGTGCCAAGTTTCATTCCAGAAATAACTCTTGACCTCCAATTCTACACGCCTACATAGTGGACACATTTCTTCAAGAGCGATCGTCAAATGTGGGTGCAATAGTTACGAATCTGGCATTCCTCTAACAATTTCTGCTCGCTGGTTGCCAGGTTATGAGTTATTGACCCGTGGAAAAGTAAGGTTCCCCACGCCTAAGACTTGCGTAAGCATTGTGCTGGCCTTCGATAACTGAAACCATAGCATATTGGCTATGATGCTAGTTATATTCATGAGGTGTTCAAATCGCTATGTCGTGAACCTTCAAGTCACATTTCATCCTCGTACAACTTCGCACTCGAAAGCCTCGGACCCGGACGAGTCTCGTCCGGGTCTACACCCTGCTGATCTATCCCTCACAAAACAACTCTACGACCATCTTATTCTCACCTCTCAATACTTAAAGAAAAAAGAAAAGAGAGATGTTAATTCGCAAACAGAGGCATCGGCAGATATTATGCAATTCCGGTATCTAGAAATGAATACAGCTTCTTACTGATGGAAGTTTTAAAAAGTTGGAGAAGCAAATCCGGAACAGACATAAAGGAAGTGTGTTCTTTGAACACGAATACAACAAGGAGAAGGTGTTTCATACACGCGGGCACCTGCCCTCTCTGATCGCTGACCTAATATGTTCTCGAAACTGAAATTGACAAGGGAGGTTGATCTTCAGCTCTGAGCAGTGACCACGGTATGTCAACGCGATTGTAAGTGTAGAGATAAAAATTTACCGTGTAGAGCATTGGCGATGGCGCGCAAGCAATCAATAAGAGAAGTTGCGAAAGCCTCTTGATTGAGGGTGGTTGCTTCAGGAAGGGGGACCCCTTTGATGGCAGAATCGAAAACTTGAGCTGAGACTTGCGTTCCCAACAACAGGGCGGCAGCTTCAGAGACGGCTGCGGATTTCACATCGGCAGGTGTGACGTATCCCTTGTTCGCCGTATCTATCTCCTTGAATTTCTTCTGCGCCTTCTCTGCCATGGTGGGCAACGCGGCAGTAATCTGAGAGCCATCTAAAACACGAACTGATCCTTCCTCCTCCATTCTTTCTCGCCACTCACTACCTCCCTCCCTCTCTCTTCACTCTCTTCTCAAATCTTTCTCTGCACACTCAAAAGTATCTACACCCGCCGATCCACTCCTACCCAACCACCCTTCCCAGCCCTCCTCCTCTCCACTCCCTTCCCGACGAAAATCGCCCAAAGCTATTCAGCGCTCGGCGACGACTCCTCTCCACGATTCTCCACCTGCGCTCTCGCCAGACTAAATACACTACAACTCGGATCCACTCCTAGCCGGGCTAGAAATCGCTCCGCGCCTTCACCACCCTCTCCCTCGCGCTTCCTGCCTGCCTGCCTGCCTGCCTGCCTGCGCTGCTGCTGCTGCTGAAGTTCAGAACAAGGCCAACTCTTCAAGGGCTCGCATTCCCATTCAGTCGGCGGTCACGCGCCTCTTCACTGCTACAAATCCCCAGGGCGGCCGTCGGAACGAAGCCGTAGGCGCAGGGCGGATCGGAAGAATCGAACTGCCCGGTGCACTGACTGACTGATTGATTGATCGATTGACTGATTGATTGATAGATCGATCGATCGATGGAGCGAGCGTGCGTTCGCTCCTTCCTTGCTTCCTTCGTTCGTTTCCTGTTCCCGCAGAAGACGAGGACGAGCGAGGGCCGGGCCGCGGGCAGGCACGGACGACGGGGTCGCGCTCTCCTCTCTTGGGTCCTACGCGTGGGAGCGACGTCCTCGCGGCCCGGCCACGTGTCGTCCCTGCAGCCCCGCTGGCCCGCCTTCGATCTGACTCGTCATGGATCTGGATTTCCAGTCTACGGTCTCCCCCACCGGCACCCGCTTCTCTACTTCCGTCGCCGGCAAGGCGAATTTCGCGACATGCCCCCCTTCCTCTTTCTTTCCGCTGGTTTTATTTCCTCTTTGATTTATTTTTCGTTTTTTGGAGGCAATTGTCGATTTTCCATTTTTCCAGCTCGAGGCTCGTCGAGCAGAAGGAAGGTGATCCCACATCTCGAAGGTTTGCGGATCGTGTGGATTTTTTTCGGGGCCCGAGTGATTTAGCAGCTATGGTTGGTCTCTCTCAAAAGTAATCAAATAATCGTCGACAGGACCGAACTATCCGATCCCTTCAGCTGTTTATCCGTCTCCGGGAAGTGGAACTCTTCGTCGTATATGGAATAAATGGGGAGAAAATAGCTCTGTGTACATCCGACCCCTTGTTCAAGTTTTGATGAAATCCGAGAAATTGAAGAGTATAGGATGATGCTTTCTTTGACTTTGTTGTGGAGCACGAATGTTACTGTGGCAGCTGAACATCCGTCAGCTTTGTTTTCATCTTCATTTCATTCACTGGCTTGATTGCGTTTCGGTGGCTCGCCGAGAGCTCATTGGAAAGGCTTGCCTGTTTGCGATTTCGTCTATCTGAATCAAGACTTCTCGTTCCGGTGGCATCAGTGAATGTCCGAGCACCGTTATCTCATCGTCTTTGAAACGTCGAGCCAGAATGGCTCACTGGAAGTTATGGTGCGTGAGTGACGTAGTTGCTGGCAGCAGGCTTGAGACAGCGGTTCAAGATGGTCTAATTTCATTTTCTTTTGTCTCAGTACTCATCTAAATAAGATTACCCAGCGTTTCCTTCTAACCAGAGACTCTAAGTACCTTTCATGATGAACCACATGCATTACCCCAAACCATGGGTCTCCTGTAGAATTTGTGGGTTTCGCATGGCATTCCAGTTAGAAATATGTTGTTGACGAACATCCTGAACATGGTTTCCAGTTTCGAAGAATAGCTTAATTTTACGGAAAATTTGTGTTTTTCTACTGTCCTCTACGTTATATGTTTTTCATTTTTTATTTCTATTTTACCTCCATATTATGGATAATTTATGCTGGCGTAACCAAGAGCGGTAAACAGAGTCTACGACAACTAGCTGCTGATACCGAACACTGACTTTTAGTCTAGGTTCGTAACGCAACGTCAATGGTAATGTTAAGGACTCGTCGTTTGCGTCACGAAGCTCCCTAAGGCTTGAAATCTCGTGCGAGATGACCAGCATCTCGCAAGGAGAAGATAACCAGACAGGTTTGATAATGTTGCTTAATAAGAGCATGGCAGGAACAGATTGCAGAGGAGAAGCGGCGCGTTTTCGGAGAGGAGCAGGAAGGACAACTGAAACTAGGCAAATCTTCTTCCGCTTCTTCGTAACCACAAACTTCTGGCATAAGCTTTGGCAAAATGAAGATGTCATTTTGGAGGCATGGACTTATGCACATCAGAAATCTTTTAACTATTTTAAAGTGGACACTGAATTTCCAAAGATATTATTCAGGGAGGTTAATAACTTGAACCACCAACTGCCAAAACACACAAACATCAAGCGGTCCAAATTTGAGTATCTCCTATCCAATATGAGTCTCCCATAGATCATCCCATAACACATTCATTTTTTAAATCACTTATCAACAAGATCAGTGTTATGACACTTCCCACAGCGTGCTCACACTTTGAGGGTAAAACAAGTGTTGCCGCTACAGACTAGATGAAAACTTGAGCCAGTTTTCCAGTTCACGTCATCCCCAACACCTCTCATAAATAAACATGAACACCTCCAGATCACACTCCCGACTAATTTTATCGAATATTGGGTGTTTGTAATGCTTGCATAGTTATAGAATTAAAAATTAATTTATTACATTTAAATAAGTAGAAAAAATTCATAAATAATGCAGATATTCTCGAACATTATTCTCCAACAAGGAGAAAAAAAAATCAAATTAAACTCCTGCTTCACTCCCGACTCACTTTCGACAAATGCAAAGCTAATAGAATCCAACAAGCGAAACCATGAACCCTATTTGGTGGAATTTCACGACGATAAATCACTACTCACCCCGCTTTCACAATGGACTGAGAAGCACAATCTCATCCGTCCAGGAAGAGACTGAAACAAGCGGAGCTGATATTCACGTTAGGAGATTTTCGTAGCAGAGAAGAAATGAAGAGGGACAGAGTGCAGGAAATTACTTGACGAGGAAAGTGTACCTGCGGTAAGTTGTCGATGGAGGAAAAACAACAACAAATGCCACCGGAGAGTTTCAGACGAAGGACGGACACAGGAAAGCTGTGCACAGTGCACGACTATACAGGAATGTGAGTGTGAACGGACAGAGTAGAAACAAAAGAGAAGTAAAGAGAGATTGCCGAGAAGGGAAATTCCTCCGCCCATTTAGCCGAGCGCCTCGTTCTCTCGGCTATCTGACCTTCGTTCGTGCTCGCTCTTCTCCTTTCCTTCGTGTTGAGGAAAGGTGTGTCCTGTCGAGGCTGGATGGTGAAGGGTGTGTGTCTAAATTGCGTATGACGACATGTCAAGCAACAACTCGGTACGTCATGTTATGCCTCACTAAATTATTACTTTTCCCTGAAGACATGGCGAATGATTATGCAATCGTCTTTATTGCTACAAGTAAGTCTGTAGATTGAGGACTTAGGGGTGTGTGGGTCCTTGGCTCGCTTACGCAAATCAAGTACTATATTATATCATGTAATTCCTAATAACGCCCTCGTTTGAAATACACAAATCTGGCTTTTCAGAATTCTGATCGACATAACAGGTGAAATATATATTGCTGAGGAAATAAACATTACGTGCCATGATTTTATTTCAACAGATGTACGATATCATTATTTATCGACTAGTCACATACTCTCATAATCATGTCATTACTCCATCTATGCAGAACCTATGCAGCAGTTGAGTTAGGCTTGAAGTGAAAATCACATGTTAGACTATTATTTCAACTGATTCATTTTCATATCGCAGGCTTTAGAAAGAAGTGTAGATTTCTTTGTTTCGTTCACAACCGACACGATGATGCTACTGTGAAACACCGTGTGCTCCTTGTTAGCAGAAGTTGTCGCTTGTTTTGCTTACTGGTTGTAAGCACTGCTCCACAGTAGCCTCGATCACAACTCAACTGAGACCACCATATTCCACAAGGGAGATACTGGCATACTTCAAGGCGACAGATTACGACATATGATGTGGAGGATTGCGGTGGGTTATGAATCATAACTTATGATGCCAAAATGAGTTTCTCTTCAATTTTTTTGAAGGTGCTTTTAATTCTTAAGTTAGTGCTTCTTTGAAATCACTTTTCTTGATGATTATTTATTTTTATTCATATTTTTTTTAATGGATCGTGTTGTTCAATGATATATAATTTTCTATTGAAATGTTATCGAACCCAGTAACATTTTATATTGAATACTTGACGGGATTTTCATCCCTTTGACAAAAATTGCCTCTAATGTTAGTTTACAGGAAGTAGAAAAGGAAAAGTCAAGATGTTTCAAAAGAGGAAGCGTTTGAATGCCAGTCTGCCTGAATTTTCATGTCCATCAAAGACCACGACATCTGAATTCAACATCCGAGACCTTCGCCAGCGATCTACCGACGCGTAAATTTTTGGAGAAGCTAGGCATGTCCTTGGCTCCAATATTCACGGTGTAAACATTGCGGTCGAAGCAGTCAATATCTGTTGGAAGTTGGCTATTTCAACGAGATTGGATGCAGTTTCGCGTGAGGCGTGCTCCGACCCGATGAAGATGCGACGGCGTGGGGCATTTGGAAGGTTGCAGAGGTCGAGGTTGGAGCGGAGATGAAGCAAAGTGCGAGCGTGCGTGCATGGGGAGATTCTGGGGGAGTCGGAGTCGGAGTCGCAGTCGCGATTCCCCAAGCCGCCAAGCCAAGCCAAGCCATGGCGTGTCGTGCAGACTTGTGGATGTGGCGTATCTTGGCAACAGGAAAGCGCGTCCTTCTTCCATGTGTGTCGAAAAGTCGTTCGGATTTCCTGACTCCCTGGAGTGTCTCTCTATCCTCCCAACAGATGAGGAGCTGAACGTTCACGGCGCCTTCGATCCAAGCCTCAACGGTCCTCGTGCCGCGGGAGATGATTGAGACTTGAGGGCGAAGTTGTCTTCTCCGACCACCGTGTCGAAGGTCGCGCGCTCTGCGCTCATTTCATTCCGGTCTTCGTGGATCCGCCGAAAGTCTCCTCGTCGCCTCAACATTTCAACAGAGCTTGTAATCTCCAATTATTTCTCCACATTCGAGCTCCCTGATCCATTCGCGAAGCAGCACCTTCGTCAGCTCAACAAGAAGCAGTCAATAAGTCATGTCGAATCTCTCAACTTGCTCGTGTCTCGGTATTCGTGTCGCAGTTTGAATTTCTTGGGCATTTCGTATCATTCTAAGCAGCATCTCCTGTACTGCTTTTACAAAAACGGATATGGATGTGCCCACAAACGCGAATACTTCTTTGTACAAAAAATGCACTTCAGTGCAAGCAAAGCACGTAAGACTTTGAAGCTCAAAGGAAAGGATGAAGACAATAACAACTGCGTGCGCACCCCAAACGAGAACCACGGCCAACACAACGCAAAGCCAAGCTAAACCAACGTGGACAACAGATAGCAAGCGCCTCCGGCATTCTCAGCAACAGCAGCAAGAGGAGTTTAATTTTGTGCTTGTTACTATGACCTCATCGGCGAGCGAAGATCTACACCTGCAGCCTGTTTCGAATTTTAAAATCTGTCAAAAAAACAATCGTCTGAACGCTGATATTCTCGTCGAAGTGTTACGACGGGAGCATCAGCTTTGACAGCATTTGATTTTTGACAATCGTTCTAAGGTTGTGTGGAGAGCTCGTTGCCACTAATGTCAAAGACTAAAAGGTGACTCGAACTCAATTCGCTCGTACGAGACTGATTCGCCCATTTTGGTCTACTGTAAACAGTTCTCCAGAAAGGATCGCAAAAGAAGTTGTTTTTATTGTTTTTATTGTTGTTGCGCTCTTCCTCGACTTGACGGAGAGAACATCGTAGCACATGCGTGTTCGTATGAATGTTCAGAGAGCAAGGATGTCGCGTTGGATGCTGTTTTGCACCACAGTAGCTAGATTCGATTACTTCGTTCGTGTCACTCTCAACAATAACCACGTCAACGTAATTTTCAACAGTTGTTTTGCCAATTGCTTACTGCCGTCAAAACTAAATGGTCATCGCAATCAAGATGATTTTAATCCAAATTCTAAATCCTTAATTGGTTTTGGATGTTTTCTTATGTTATGGTTGCATTAGATTTTCTTGGTGATAATAAAAACGATATAGGTAAGAAAATAAGATTGGTGGCTTTTCCATTTGCTAGGACATATGTTACATCTCAACTTATAAAATATATCACATCTTGAATGTTGATTTCATTCAACTCCTAGCTAGCACAACAACAAAAAGTTGGCCGCAAATTTTTCTACTTATTGAACAAGGTTATCAAAAAAAATTTGGCCAAAATCTAAATAATATAGTTTACTTTCAAAATATCAAACAATTTGTAAACAAGGTGAGCTTGATTTTGCAATTTTACATTTATCTAGTTCATTTGATCATTTTTTATCATAAAATATTGTTAACTTCATCATCTAATCTAACGAGTTTAATGATATTTATGTCATTTAACATTATTATTGCTAAAATTGAAAATATTTTATATATTTTGAGATTTCAATCAAATATCAAGTTGAAAGAATGTACTTTATGACCAATCAAGGCAATGTAGATCAGCAAGTTTTATCAAATTTATAGTTGTTGATCTAAATAATAACAAAAAAAATAAATTGCAATCAAACTCAAGTATTGAATTGAAACTCTTAATGAAAATCAAAATTGAGAGAAATCACATCAATTATTTCTTTGTCACTTTTCTTACATAGTATAGGTTTGCAAATTGAAGACAAAAATTTGATTACCCCAATTAATCAAGTCTTTAATTATGTTTTAATCATAAATATACATGCGTCCATAACATATGTATATGTGACGTGAATAGCGGTTGCATCAACTACGCATACATAACTTAGAGAAGTAGAAACATGAAAATAACATATCAAACAGCCGGTCTCATCACACATCAGGGTCTGCCCCCATGTGTGCTCTCGGATTCCAAACACGATACCTGGAAACAGCTGTGCTAACAAGTTAACTGGAGCCACTTGTTTATGGTTTGCGTAACATAGCGAACTTGTTCTCCATTGGCATCTCTAATTATAATAACATCTCCCAATCTTCATGAATTGTATGCTGCGGATCCAACTGAACTTCGTGATGAGTTCTATATACTTAACCCTTTGTAGGATTAGGTATATGGAGAAGGTCAGATATCTTACTCCAAATTTACCTTGAGTCTCCTTCTCTGGTGAAGGCACTGTGCAACAAATCCCAGCCATTGCTTTTGTTTGGCGGGAGGTAGATGGCATACTGCCTCGAAGGATATAGGGCGAAGTGGATGCTCTTCCAAAAAATTCTCCTCTGCTTCCTGACTCCGGCACCGAACAGAATCATTGAAAGCTGACTTTCTGATGCACTTTTGTGTTGCACCGTACACGTGATGTCACTCCGTTGGTGTAAGATGGAAAATCTCGGTCACATCCTGAGGTCTCCAGTGGATATGGGATTCCATCAGGCCTTTCTGGTGGTGCCCTTGTAAACCGCTCAAATTTCCTGCTTTCAAGTAATACTTATGTCATCTTGAAACACCTTCTGATTCAATATGGCTTGCAGATTTGGAACTTGTTCAGTTGAACCCTTGGAGATAATGCGTGAACTCGAACAGACCTAAAGCAAATACGTAACCATGACACTCCATGCCGTGAACTTAGTGGTAAGCAAATCTCGGATGGACGAAATAGACGAGCCTCAGGTTGGAGAGAAAAAAGCCCACAATTGTACGCGACCTGGAGAGCACACAAGCGTCCCAAAATCATTGCCTAACAGTTCGGGAAACACATGTGGAGATAACGGGAAGCTCTTAATTGAAAGAATGGGCAAATCAAGCTTGGCTGCAGCAACTGCAAAAGCTTCTTCCATTGTATAAAGATCAAAACAAAGCCAGATGACCAGGAAAGGAAAAACTCCTGGTAAAGAATGTTTTACATGCTGCAGCCGGGTACATGAGACGAGTTGCATCTTGCTGTTCCACAGGCCACTGTCTATCTAATCCCTCCGATTCTCTTAAGCTCCGATTAACTTGGACCACGGTAGGAAGAAACAATATTTACTCATAGTACGAAGTCACGCGTGTTCTCTACTCCGCCTTCACACTGTTGCTCCTCAGTTGCTTGCGCTTCATGCGGCTGAAAGGTCCAACCGTTGGGTCCGTGATGTACTGATAGATGACACGAGACCAAGAGTTGTGACAGGCTAGGCCCTCGTAGAACTCAGGAGCCATCTTCTTCAATTCTGGTAGCCTAGTGCCTGCAATCCTTGGAAAGTCGTGATGCTCGTTATGATATCCGACATTCCACGTGAGCAGGTTGAGGGGGCCATAGTAAGAGTAGGTTTCCTGCCCTTTGTTGAAAACATAATGTTCAGATATAAAGTGCCCTGCTATTGGGTGCATGCCACCCCCAAGGAATGTAGAGAGAATCAGGTATGCCAGTGCTTTCCACCCAGCATAGTACACCAAAGCTCCATCCAGGGTCAATTGAGCCACCAAGTTTCCGAATTCCCAAACACCTGGAGGTTTTGGATTCAAAAATAGAGGCCTCAGGGCATAGAAGAAAAGCTGGAAGAGTACCCACAAAACCTTCAACGCCGTGTTGGTCACTATCCGACCTTCTGCATAGCTGGGAATGTCCATGTCCATGCCCTCCACGCCCTGATATCTATGGTGCTCCAAGTGATATTTTTGAAACGTAACAGACATAGGAATCCCAACTGGCAAATTCGCAAATATTCCGAGCAAACGGTTGTAGAACGGACTTGAGCATGCCAAATTATGGCTCAGTTCGTGAATAGCAAGAAAAAGATTGTGATTGCAGAAGGCACCAAAGAAGTAGGACACCAGCACGATGGTGAACCATCTCGAGTTGCTGATGTAAACTGCAGTGGATAATTGTAACGCCACGACAGCAGTAATCTGGAAGATCAATGAAATCTCAGTTAGATGCTAGTTCCTCACATCCTTGTAGAATTGACATTCAAGACCAAAACAAAACTCAAGGCATAATGGAACTCCTAAGTAATACAGCCAAGTTTCCTATTTCTAATCAACACAAGGTGCTCCTTGTACTACTCAAGATGAGAAATGGACTGTCTGATCGAAGCACGAAGTTCGGTTGTTTCCACCCTCGTTAAATCGCTTCACTGAATCCCATATAATATTGCCCCCTCTCACCGCGAGACAGGATTCATTCGAAATGGCCAACATCCTCACGGGTCCTGAATCATAATTGCCTGACGTTGTTTTCTTGATTCTTACTTCTACGCTAGAAAGCAGTGTTGCTACAATTTCTGTATGATAACCGAGAGCAAAATTTGATGCGCGCATGAAGAAAGGGAAAAAGACATATTTTTATAAGACTTGCAAAGAAGCACGGAAGACTCCCGACTCATGGTGTGTGCTCCGAAAAGCGACGACATTCTGGTGATGACGTAAGAATTTGGTGGTCACTTTGAAAGATTCACTCAGTCAAACTACCGGTTTTCTCCAAAAAGCAGCAAAGGTTCAATATTTGAAAAAGGTTCATGATTCGGAAGATCATCATTTGGAATGAACCTTTCTTCGATATTGTCGGTACTTCCTCTATATATCGAGAATGCAGTAACTCTATAATAGCGGGAACATGTGTCCAACCTTTACATTCGGATAACGTCAGCATGTTACATTCTTTGATCTGAGCAGCTCACGGTAGAACGAAACCTGAAGCAACAGAATATAGCTCCTCCACTGCAGGGTATCTAAGAGCGGCGACCGGATATGAGAAATAAGGAGAAAGAAGAGCTCCGCTGTTCCATGTTCGAACAAACGTACTTAGCCGTTCAAAGCCATGTGAAGACCAAGTACTGACAATGTTATGGAAAACTTGCAAAGATACACACTGCGAATGTTGGCTAAAGTGATCACTACTCACTGGCTGCCGGGATGACGGCTGAGTTTTCAAGGTTTGTGCTTCTCAACCAATCGTGGCAAAAGTGCCCACGTTTAGCTTGAGATCACTTCTCTGAACTATTGTGACAGTGTTGATAGGTCAAGATAAGCTTGAGATTTAGACTGTCCGCATCACATATGCGGCAGGAATCGCCTAGCAACAACACATTGACAACTTGAAATGATGATTTGAACTTGAGTATTGATGGGCCCCGTGGAGCCCAGGCATCAAGGACGAACGACCGGTTGCAATCAAATCTGCAAACGTGCAAGCCATCCTGGAGTCAAGCACCTCTCCGAACGAGCAATCACAATTATTGGGGGCGCATTCAATGACTAACCTTAGCTGGCGCCCAAGGATCAGGGCCAAACAACTGCTTGATCTCAGGGTGGGAATCCAAGATCTGGCGTCTCCTCGACGCGTGAGGCTCATCGGTCTCGGACCAAAAAAACTCTTTCTCCATACCGCCGGACGCAGCCGCAGTGGACACCATCACCACACACCGTCACTGCACCGATCTCTTTCCTCTTCACTTTCCACAATACATCACCCGGCAATGCTCTGAATTGTAACCTGAAATTTCGAGGCGCCGATCAATCTCCGCACCCCCGAAAAGATATTCAAATTTGCCTGAGTCGGAGTCCAGTCACGTCAATCGATCGTGAACCTCTTTCTTCCGACGCTTGCCGGGAACGGCAATGGCACGACAGCCTTCCGCGAAATTGAAGGCCTTGCAAAAATCTCACTGCCGAGATCTCTGCAAGGCCTCCTTGAGCGATTGCCGCATTCCTTCAACGACGCTCAACGAGGCTGCCGGGCACCATCCTCTCACCGGCTAAGGCGATCACCACTTCTGGCGAGTGGCAGCTCACTGCGCAAGCTCGTCACCCGAACTGCAGTAGAGAACGACGTCCGTAGTTTCCTGTTCCCGCAGTGGTTTCTTTCTGTCCATTTGCGGACGAGCATTTTTATTTCATTCCAGGAAGTTCATTTTGCAGGAATCGTGGCCATTATCCGAATCAACACTGCGATCTCCTCACCCCGCAATTAAATTCTACGATCGATCCGAGAAACTTGTCGATTTGTCATGGATCTCTTGCGCAACCACGTTATTCAAGGACGATGGCTTCTTTTCGCTCTCTAGCGAAATTTACCACTTTCGCCCGAAACCAAGGGGCACCGAGGATGAGAATGACGCTGGCCAGAGTCTCCCTGGGTTTAAGACTGCAGAGTAGAGCCACCCCGACCGCGTGCCTCCGAGCTGAAGGCCGGGCACTTCATACGTACACCGTTGGTTCCTTGCCGTCTATGAATCCAAATAGCCAACTGCGTAACTTGTTACACTGTTACAGTTGGCTTTTTTGGATTCATAGACGGCAAAGAACGAACTGTGTAACTGTGTAACTAGTTACGTTTTGTGATAAACTGTAGTTGCTGCTCCACATTTGAATCCCTTTCCGAGGAAACTCGAATGTGAAAGAGAAAGAGAGATCCAAAGCAAAAAATTTAGGAAGAATCTTTGGGAACATGGAAGGCAAATGTGACTAAATTTAGATAGTTGATCATTCTTTCTTGCAAGAGTATTAAATTATCGCCCTATGTGAATATAGCTTGTGAATAGGGCGATAATTACCTGCAATGTGAATGCTCTTGCAAGAATAAATGATGTACTATCTAGACTTCGTCACATTTCCCTTCCATATTCCCATTCTCCCAACTATTGTTACTAAATTTCTCAAGCGCGAACCTCTGCATTCAAAGCTTGGGGTGGGAGATTCATTCACTGAATGAATCTCAATGGATAATTGTCATTCCCTCAATCACAAAAAGCTACGATTTGTCGGGGATGACATTTGTCACCAAAATTATTCACAAACTCTGAAATTTTTTTGCCGTCCCCAGAGTACACTCCAGATAAAGACTTCTTTAGGTGTTGTAGAACCAGTTAGTCATAACCAAGACTGGTTGATTTTAGCGATTTGGTACTGTCTAATGTCAGCACCGAAAGCATAGCGGTGACAATCACTTACGCTCCGTCTTCGCATGGCGACATCGACATCGAACTCTCATTTATTCAAGATTTTAACTTCTTTCTACATCGTTCCCTTCCCTTGTCTTGTGCTTCTATGTTGCGGATGCCAACTCCGACTAGCGATCCATAAACAAGCTGTGCATGCAATTACTGCTACAAAACGGGAGAACATCCTGACAAAATTGATAAACGAGCCAATAAAACGCAAGCAGAAAAAAAAATTGCGCCACTACCCGTCATACACCACAACGCTACAGGCGTCATATGCACAGAAAAACCGACCGTGGTGAAGGCTGCCATTGCCATCGACAGGGTCCATGTGCATATTCAAACATTTATTACTCTACAAAGTGCAATATATACAAACTCGCAACGCTCTTCCCTGGGGCGCCTTCGCTTGCACGCTTCCAGTCTGAAGCGATACAACCATGCGTCTCCTTCCAAAGCTTTAGAGTCTGCAAGACACACCTTCTTGAGCATTCTCTAATCTGTGTAGCGCGTGTAAGTGGTCGTTGCTACCCGAACTAAAGGCTTTAATAAAACTAGAAGAAAACGAAAAACTAACTAACAACTCTTGCACCGTCATGGCTGATGGAGATCCGGTCGAGATCGAATCGTGCCTGACAAATTGCAAATTCCGCTGTCAAGCTCAAGAGAAGAGAAGATCGCAGACGAGACTGCATCGCCAGCCACCACAGTCACAACCTCGAGGCAATGGTTTGGGTTTCCGCTTTGGAACGATCTATCTCGTTCCCAGTTTAGTTTACTCTGGAATGGACTCAAAACGTGGAGTTTACCACAAAACCTAACAGTTACGCAGTTGAGTTTGCTTGATTCACATAAGGATAAAGCACTACGGTGGGGCACGAACGGTGTACTTATGAAGGGCCCGGCCGTAAGCCCCGAGGCACATAGTCCGGGTGGCTTTAGTGAAAAGTGGTGTTAAGGCGGTTATCACACGGTAACCGGAAGAGACGGTGATGACGTCTCGCGTCCTAGAACCTCATCACACTCCGCCCGTCCGGATTCGCCCAACGGACGTATCCGTGTTGATCGACCGGTTTAGAGCCGGTCACGATCCACTCGAAACCAGCCGCGGGGAGGACACCGCGAGTGGTTCCCCAAAATCACAATATACGACGTGGCCAATCTAACGTTCTAGTCCCGATCGAAAAAATTTGATTGCTTAAACCCAGAACATTCGAGTTTTTGAACCCAACCGAGCCCACTAATGTTCGGAACGCCATCAACGTATCGACACGACTTTTAAATCAAAATCAAACCTAGAGAGAAATCGCCGTCCGGAGTCCCCTATCGGTTACAATCGCTGTTACAATCTTCCGTTCTCAGCCGTGGTTAGAGAGGCGCATGAGAGAAGTGGATACTGCGTCGTCTCCCGAGTTGCAGAAGAATATTCGGATCGAATCACACCGGGAATAACTGTCGCCGATCTTTCGCGGCCGTAATGGTTAAGGCTGGAGTCCGCGGAGCCGGTTCAATGGGTTAGGCGATGGGTCGATATCAACCCTAGGCCCCTGGTCCTGACCTTTCTCGAGAACAGGACAAAGTACAGGGCGAGGGAATATCCGCAGAAGAGCTGGATTCTGTCCGAGGACCATACCCCGGTGCAGCCAGTCCGTAGTCCTCCACGTGGTTGAGTTATGGTCGAGTGCCAAGTTGCAAACCTCAGATTCACATTTCCTTCTTCTTCATCTTCTCTCTGTCAGCAACACCTTGGGAGTACTGTAGCCCTCGCTTTCGCATTTATCTAACACCTGTATGAGTCCAATTGACCCCACTCATCTTACATCTGTGAAACTGCAATTACACTGGGGGCCCTCGTAGTTACACAGAAGCCCTTCCGTGTAACTACGGAAGGGAGGGCTAACCACGTGCAAGGTAGAAACCTTTCATACCTGTAAATAAAAGCATTAGAAAGGTCTTTCTCGCGAACTCCGGAGTAAAGGGCAAGTTGCTGTCATACAGAAGCCGTAATTTGCAGTTATCCAGTGTTCTTTCTGAGAAATTATTCGAAGGAAATTCATTGTGGAAAAAATTATATTGCAGATGACGAGGTCGAGGAATAAAAGTGTATAGACTGTTAAGGAAGTCGCCTTAAGAGAGAGTCGACAATAAACAATATACATGAGGAACATTACTGTGTAGCTCAGGTGGCGACTAAAGTGAATTTGGTCCATGAGAGTCGCTGCACTATGGACTAATTCATATGTTCAAGTTTTGGCCACTTGGGCCAGGCTTTTTTGGTCATTTATATCGCAAAAGTAGTTTCTCCCTCCCCTTTTGTTTTATGTACGCTTTTTTCAAAATGTAGTCAACGAAATTAAGAAGTTGCAGATTCCGAAAGTTGCAATCTTGTGGAGAAATTGAAAACGGTGCCAGTTGAATAACAAACTGATGTGATAGTGCAAGATTCCAATGACATTTTTTTATATTACCAACCAAACCTAACTGGCTCGGTTAAAAATGGCAAAAGACAATGAGCACTATTTCCTTTTCCAATCCATCCATGTCATACAAATCTTGCAGGGATAGGTAGAGTTGGTATTTGACATCTTACAGACATTTTTTCATTCAAATGATACATTTAGTTGATTCATGGTGTCTCATGAGCACTTAATGCTTTGACAGCGATCTGAATGCCTTGCTCTTGAGAAGATTTCTTAATTTTCATTAATTCTTAATATTTTTCTCTTCCACCATCCAAAGTTTAACTTGTTCCAATGGATGAAGTTACAGTCATAAGGAGATTATATTATATACATATCTTACCTTAAATTCTTCTTTGCACTTCACATGCATTTCCTCGTCGATCTTCTTGTGCTCTCAATCAAATTATCTGATTTCATTTTTAGACTATCATACATTGTATGATAAAGTAATATGCATTTATACTTATTTTATTTCAACTTATTCCAATTGCAACACCTTTTTTATCTCTAATATTCAATTTTCTTATTTATATGTTTTTATTCGGGAAAACAATAAAACTTCAGCCTAGATTTTAATTTTAATTTTACAAATGATTTTGTTGTACATAATACAGACTTGATAATTGTGCCAAAAAAAATGCAAAATTATGAATTATCATCAAACATTGGAGATATGACTTACAATTCGTATCATTGAATCAAATTTGAAATCGTCATATTTTCAGAGTTTAACGATGAAATATTAAAAACTTCATTCAAATTGGAGGGCAAGCAATATGAAAAATTTAAATATCTTAAGATGTAAAAAAAACTTATATAACTAAATGATAAAACATATAATCATATTATCTTCATCTACATGGAACAAATTTTAAATTAACATTAAAATTTTGTTAGCAATTAACTGTGAGATGTAATAAATCAAGATTTTAAAAGCATTTATTGATATAACAAAAATTTATCATGTTAAATCATTTTTTAAATCAAAATTTCTTGTTTCAGTCATCTTTTCAATATAAAATTGATTGTAGAACAAATCTTGTTATACATATTGATATCCAACATTATTCTAAAAAAATAAATTTTCAAATTATCTTGTTGATATTGCATTACCTTTGAACTCATTGAAGCATTTCAATTATAATTACATTTTTATTACAGTATTAACTCTAAGTTTATGTTAACAGAATATCATTCCATATAATCATTTCAAATTATAGAAATATTTAATTATGTAGACTTCTTTTTAAGTGTTATCATATCAAGGAAAATAATTCTTTCATTTAGTTATTTATATTTAAAACAAAATGGAATTCAAAAATAATCATATATTCTAAAAGAAATTTCACAATGTGACTATTACCTCACATTATTTCAAACTATTTTCAATAGTTCAATATGAAAGATTTTAATATACTTATTTTAAAATAAATATCTTTTCATATATTATATTACTTGTTATGATAAAGACAAGATCACCATATATATGTTTTGAAATTCAATGTAATTTATTTTTAATTTTAAAATAAAATTAAACAATTAAAACAAGAAGACCAAAATAAAAATATTTAGAACAATTTTTCAGCTGTCAAATAATAAGCTTTATTTCAGCTATCATTTTGCACTAACAAAAAAACCTTACGAAAGTAAAACCAGATATAGAAAATAACTAAATTCATAAATAAAATTTCTTATTCATTAATCTTGCAAAAAATCTGAAATCACTTCAAGCAAGTCTCACATTTCTTTACTATCACTAAATATCACTAAAGAGAGTAAATCCAATTTGTGTTTTTATGTTCAAGCCATATGTGGTTCATTCTGTCATATGTTTTTGAATTGTTTTAATATTTATTTATTTATTATTTAACGATTTTTTTTAATTTTTTTATTACAAATTTATTATGCTTATGATAATTTCAATTCTTTCTATTTTAGTTTTTTTTTAATGATTTTTCATTCTAATCCGTTTTGGTTTTGATTTATTTTGCATGTTTAGAAATTGCTCACAAAAGTAATCAATCGTGAAATACATATCCTTAAATCTAAAATCACATTCAAATCTTTCACTTAGGTTTTTTCTTCATCATTGTTTCAAATTTTTGTATTGAATTCAAAATCTTTGAATAACCTTCAAGATCACTGTTGCATATTCATTGTTAATATGATGGTCAACCATAACGCAATTATTTTGTTTTTATGCATATATACTTTGCTTTTATGTATAGGTATATTCAATATATCTAAAACTTTGGAAATTTGGATAAAATAATGCTATCAGGTTATTTTTCATCTGCAGAAATTTGGTAAAAAAATAAATTTCAATTTTATCATTTACACATTGAATTATATGCAACGATCAATTCACACTTCTTAAATTTCATAGTATAACAAAAAAAAATCATCACTTACAATAGAATGATTAAAATTTTTCATTTTTTTCAAATTGAAATATTTGAATTATTTCAATCATCAGTATTTTTATGAATAACATGAATTCTTAAAAATATGGATATGCGTAAAAAAGATGATATCATTGAGACTTCAATATAATTTAGGATAGAAATATCAAATTTTCATAAATAATAATAAATAATATTATTGAATCTGTTTTTTCAATGATGACCATGGTTTGAGATGTTAACGATATTATTTGTTAATTAATTAAAAATTTCATATATTTTAATTTGTTTATTTGGAATGGAATTTTAAAAATCTAATAGAATGTGAAATGAACTCTTATGTTTGGCTTTGCATAATCAATGTGTCGAGATTGAATGTTTGATGATATAAATTATTTTCAAAATAGAATGTACTAATGAAAAAAATATAATACTTTTTTTAACAATAGAAAGTTTTTTTTCTTTTTATTGCACTGAATGTCATAGTTTAACGTTAATACGTAGTTTTGTGGAAGACTCACTTTTTATTATTCGACGCTTTGAAAATTTATGATTTGATCTTTGGGATTTCAACACAAAAGTGTAGTTATCAGTTCATCATTTATATACACAGAAATAGATATAAATGTCATAAAAAACTTCCAAAATTACTTATTTTTAGAACATTAAAATATACTTGTAATAAAAGAATGAATTGTACTGCTCTTATACTACTGTATATGTTTTGCAACACGACAATTTTTGCTAAGCAATTCGATTGGACATTCTTAAGACGTATAGAAGATATATTCAATTAAAATTTTCACATGATTTTTTGTCCAAAGTTATCAACATTTTGCTACGTTATTGATTACACAAAATTTTATATGAGGTATCAATTGTAGAAAATACTGACTTCTTAATGATTTTTTTTCATACAATGCATTTATTTCCTTAAAAAAATATAAGATTAATGTAAAAACTTACAAAATCCAATTATACATTTAATTTGATTTTCTTTAATAGATTATTTATATTATACTTTGCCAGTTTCTAAGCTACTTATATGAGTTGAAGTAAGTCTTAAATAATGAGAGATTTATCATTTTCATATGAAGACAAGTATCTATATAGATTGTACTAGATACTTGTGTAGATATCAAAAAAATGAAAAAAATGTGGAGATGAAGATCCGAAAAGACTTTACACTGAAAATTAAAGGTTAAATACAAAACTTTATGCTAGAAAGATACTTGTGAGATTTGACATGAAGAAACTCAAAAATTGTGATTACTACTTTTGATTTTTATTTCAAGACCTCCTTAGGTCTATTTTCCAACAAATGCCTTGAAAATCGCTTTGAAGTCCACTTTTGTCTTCTACAATCAATAAAGATTTTCATATTTTTAATGAAGTGCAATACTTTTGATATAGCTCAAATTATAGTGAGGAGTAACGGATATATGTCAAATCCAAGCAAGATACCTTGAGCTAACTATGTTTATAACGTGATCTTTGTTAGATTTTTTGCTATAATATTAAGTATAGTATCAAGTATTCATATGAAAGATATACTATGAGTCCCAACATATGAGATCCTTAAAGTAAACTCATGAATTCTTCAAGTTTTAGTCAATTTAATAAATCTAGTTAAACTCGTAATCACATTACCATATAAAAAAGCTGATAGAAGCAATCAATTAGACACAGAGTTGGATTAGTAAAGCTAATGATAAGTTGCCGTGTAGGAAGACTGATGAGGTCAATCAGGTATTTTTTCTGTTGACTAAGGCCCATACCTGTTAATTTTTCTAATTATTTCCTACTTCATTCCAAAATATACAATGTGTACGTGGAAAATATTTTTCTGTTCAATTTAAGCATGTATAATTTCTGTCGGGACTGCATAAAACATCTCATACCGTAGACATAAGCGGCCCGATATATTCACTTTAGTATACGTTGGCGTATGAAAATTCAAGATATCTTCTGCTGCTAATGTATTTGAAAATGAATGATCAATAAATCATAGGCTTTAGAAGAATCATTGAATTACAAATTATATAATTTTTTTAGTGCCGACTTTTATATTGTTTTCGGCAGTGAAGTTTTTTATAATATGTACCTATACATCCATTAATTTGTTCGTGGGTTTTAAAAATAAACCTTGTCTACTTATAATGCAATAACGAATATGTAGATCGTTTCATGACATCCACTCACGGTTAAATACGTGTGTGACTTTGTCTTATGATTACAGGTCATAGTTGCTACTATGATCTGTATGATCCTTTTGGATAGCACATGCATGATGACTTACAGTGAACCCAGGTTCAATCATGGAATCATGCAATCCCGGGAGAATGAGTTGACTGTGAAGAAACTTGAGTGACATGGTAGTTAGTAGGATAAAAAAAATGGGAGAGGCTAGTTATCCTCACTTAGGGCTGATTGGTATTCGGTAGAATTGCTTATATTAGGGTGAGGGCTAATTAACCCTAAGGATAACTAGCACTCCCCTAAAAAAAAACTTAGTTATCCCATTTGATGGTAACGCTCGTGTGAAATAGAAACTCAATTTGGTTCGAGTGTCACTTCACGTCAGGTTCTGAACCCTCCCTGGATAAAAGTTATCTGAGAACTCTGAAGTGGAATAATAAATATATTTTTGGGTAGGTTCACTTTTCGTTCAACAACATCGTTTGCCATTGCTGTGGATTATCCAGTCGGAGGTGAATCAGAAAACAGTAACCCGTCACATTACAGGAACATACTTGACACAAGATACAGTAAAATCTGAGCATGAGACGTGAAATTTCCAAGTGAATCCAAGGCCCTGATTTCATGCATCTGGGCACTGGGGAACATCTGGGTACCACAAATATTCCAGTTCAGAATTTTCACAACGAGAATCTTCCAATCGCTGCTGAAACTGCAGCCCCGCTCTCGGTGGACAGGAGAAAGCTACGAGTCTCTGAATGTCTAACTATTCCTGGAGACTTCCAATACCATGCTCTCTTTACACATGCCCAGGTGCCCTGCTTTTCACCTCCTTCGTGCCGGTAAGCACTCAGTGTGTACGATGACGGTGCACTTGGGGGTTCGCACTGCGTTCAGGTGCAATTTCAATGTGTCACGCACTCTCTTATGTGGCAGCATCATCCTCTCAAAAGGGTAACCCATCTCGACATCGCGGTGACAATGCATTTTGTCTTTTGTCAACAAGACATATCAGCTGATTGTCAGAATGCTTCTCCCTGTCCCCAAGTTTATCAGGAGAGCCTTACATTTTATTGGATGCATTAAATGCCGTTCGAGTTGTTCTCAACATCTCAGGGAGCCGCATCTATGTGGAAGGAAAGAACTGAAGGCTGGGTTGGATAATCTGACACAAATATTGAGGGAATAAGCAAGTGCGCATGATCTCAGATTTGATCTACACGACACGACTCAATATTCCCGCAACCATCGAGTGAAGGGTCAAACCAAACAATATCAGGCGAATTTTCTGAACTCGAAAGGGGAAGATTCTACAACTGCGGAGGCATTGCATGAGTGCTGTGGTCAACTAACGGAGACATGACGGAATCTTTTAGTCTACATGAGAAAGAAGAGAACATTTCTTCGATCGTACCTGTAAAAAAACGTGATGCTGAATCTAAGCAGTGAGGAGGTACGAGGGCTTCTGTCACTGCAAGCCTCACTCTCGAGAGTGATGCGAGAGCGAGTCCAGCAGCCCGCAGTCAGGAGGAATGTACGACATGCATCTAATTCACGAGAATGAAGGCGAACGAGGCTAGATCCATTCTTTCAGTCCAGGTCACGAGCCATGAGTATCCTTAGGGCACTCAGAAGAATAGCCACAACGATCCAGATTTGGACCCAAACCGAGAGAAGGGCGAGAATGGGGAAATATAACAACAAGACTGCAACCACAGGACCACCACCACTTGGAGAGGGTTAAGAGTCGCCTACTCTCGTGCAAGCGCCAGCAGCTGTCATCGTCGCCGTCGTCGTCTAGTTTTTAGGTTTACAGTATAGAGAGAACAGTGAGCTGCAGTTCCCGAATCAGATCTTCCGAATGCTGTAGGCTGTGAATCTATTTGCGACCGATTCCCCGCCGGCTCAGGGGCGACAAAGGCGGGGCTAAAATAAGCACTGCGAACGAATAGACTAAACAATCCGGACGAGTTCTGCAGGAATCGTTGGTGTCAGAGAGAGAGAAAGAGGTTTCTTGTTTTGATAGCACTGCGGTCGAATTGACTGCCGCAGTCTTCGCTAGCGCAGCAGCAGCAGTCAGCTGAGTATTCGCCGGATCGGGTCGCAAGCCGCAACACGTAACAGCAGCAGCAGGCTTGTCGGTCGTCAGCCTGGAGGCTGTCCACGGGCGATGGCGGATGGGTTTTCTCGCTGGGAACAACAAAATGTTTCTGGCCCGACGGGTGCCATGAGAAGCGGGCATCGAACCATCCATCCATCCTCCGGCGTGACGAATTGGACATGGGCATGTGACACAGTGGCGCAATTTCTTTCTCGCTCTCGTACAGAGAAAGGTCCGAGGAGCACGACAATATGTGGGAACGGTGTCTACTCTGCGCGGGAGAAATAAGGCCGGGTCGAGCCTTCGCTGCGCCAACGCGAGTATGGGATTCTGCGTGCGTGAGTGAGTGAGTGCGTGCGTGCTGCTGTTGGTCCCGGTGGGCCCGCGTGCCAGCAAACCAGGAATCGGGACTTGACGGGCCACATCTGCTGCGAAATTGAAGGCTGAGGCCAACGCAAAGAACCATCCATCGAGCTGGAGCACGAGACGGGTCGTGGAAATGGTGGGTCTGGCGGCATGGTGCGCTGCTCGGACCGTGACGAGTACAAGGAAAAGCACCGATCTGGCTGGCCTGGCCATGTGCGATTCCTGTATCGTTGAGCCTAGATCGCAGGAATTCAATCGAAGAATACTGCACTGTGCGAGGCGGAGGTCCGGACATCAATCAGACAATCAATCAATCCCATACAGACTCGGTCGACCATTAGAGCCAGCCAGCCAGCCAGCCAGCCAGCGTGACTGCACATTCTTTCTCGTTCTCTCTCACAAACAGACCAAAACACGCATGCACACAGAAGCAGGAGAGACGAGCAGAGCAGGAGGTATATGGAGTTTTCTTCCTTTTTTAAACGGCAAGGGAGTTGGACGAAACGGCCTCGAATATGTCCTTTACATAATTGTACGAGGGGGCGGTGCCTACTACTATGGGGAGGCGTGACTGAGCATCTGCTTCACTTCACCGTGGGGGCGCTTAGTGCCACCGAAGGATAACGTAGTAAAGTCCTAGCGTAGAGTGCGCGTTCGCAGCACATTTAGATAAGTGCTGATCTAGCTAAGCTAGCCCGATAAGGTCTTTACTAGATACGTCGAGGGGGAAGCCTTGCAGATGGCCAGTGACAGCTGGGTCAGGGTACTAAGGCGACGGATCTCTCAATAGCCCACATGAGTGTATACACATGCTCTCGAGAGAGTGTAGCCAGTACATCACAGTAAGGTGTTACGTGCTTTGAGTGAGTGACGATGAGTTGATGCTAGTCAGTACTGCCGCTTGCTTGCTACACTTGGTAAGGTCTCGTAATGGTGGGTGTGTTCTATAGGGACTATTTCGTCATTCCAAGTCCACTGGAAGCTCGGGTTCCCGAGAGAATCTCAACCAGATAGACTTGTGCTATACTTATCTCCAGTGAAGGAGAATGAGGGGTTCGAATGAATGTGGATATGATTGGAACTCCCTGTCACCTGGGATAAGTCTACATGTATGTACAGAGCGTCCTGCAACTGATCAGAAGTCCGCCTCCAGCTGGTAGGATGAATCTAACTGGGAACGACAGGTTTACTCCTCAAACTACCTCGTCCTGCCACCGGCTCGCTCACTTCGACAAATGCGGCGATATCTTTTGCTCCCCTCCTTCAGTCCACGTGGACGCTGTTCACTTCAATGAATTCTAAACCATTGCCGTCAGGGTCTCGGCAGAAAATAGATGGCACCATACTCAGCTGATAATTGATCCCTGCACAGCAACAGCACCAGCAACGCTAGAGTCAAACACTAGGCACTGGCGAGCTACAGCTAAAGCTACTGCCTCCGACTCCTATCCTATGCCATAGACACAGCGGAGATTAAATCACCCTTCGACAACTACAACTACTACTACTAGCATTCAAATCAACCTCTCTCTCTCTCTCCAACAGAGGGCTCCATGTGCGAGCCGAGGGTCCAACCACGAAGCAGACATTCCTGGAAAAACCAGAGGAAGATAGAGGAGGAGGTAGAGGAGGAGGAGGAGGAGGAGAAGGACCAACCAGCTTGGTCGAATGTCATCCTCAGGTGGTCCACATTTTTTACGTTGAGGCAGGCGTGTCGATCGTATCCTCCATGGGGAGGGCGGCCCTTAACAGGGTCCGGGTTGGGAACCTCCATGATATGAATACCCTCTGCCCCCAGCAACAGCCACGCGCCTCGGTACGGCAGATCTGGTCGATCGAGATTGGTTTTGAGCCCTGTGCATGTACAGACAGCCACCTCGTCCACGTTAATTTGAGCCCAGCCAATGCCTACGAAGGGGTGTGTTCGGCGGAGCTCGTCGGACGTCATTCCTCGAGCACGTCCCTGCCTTTCCAGCACTGCCTCGTACAGCCCTCGTACTATACCTTACAATACTTTTGCCCTTCCGGATAAACCTACGCTTTGTGTGGCCTCCGTCCCCCGATGGCCTGCACTCGCTCGCTCGCTGCTCTTCTAGCTCCTACTTGTCGCCCAGTCCATGCTGCCTGGAAAAAGGTGCCTCGCGGCCGCACCTGCGGCCTCGCCATTGGCTCGCCTCCCCCTCGCCTCCCCTCGCCTTTCCCTCGTCTTAGCAGTCGGTCGCACATCGAGCCCGCTACGCTGCTCTGTAGGCAGGGGTCTGGGGAGGGGCCTGGGCTCTGGGCTCTGGACCCGACGACGACGACGACGACGACTCAGAAGATACTTACTTGCCCTTTACAACTTTCGTTCTCCCCGTCCACGTGCTCGTAAACACCGAGCCGGAGGCGAAGCGAGCGAAAGCGAGGCGTGAACCTGCCTGGAAATTCGCACGTACTAATGCTCCTGCGACGAGCGAGAGCAGGGATCGGTTCATGCGCTTGCTTGCATGAACGAGGGCTCGGGTCCGACTACTCGTCCACATGCGTCCCGCGCGCGCGCGAGCGAGCGAGGACGATTGCACGACTCGAAGAGCGAGCGCGGAATGCGAATCCTCCAGCGGGAGGAGATGCAGGATTCGCATCCTCGTTTCGTCCGTGCAGGTGTCATCAAGCTCGAAGAATACTGTCCTAAGGTCCGGGCATCCGGTGTTCTAGATGGATAGCGCGCGAGACGAGGGCGACGTGCAATGATGATGATTGATGGCCCGGCCGTCTGTACGAGGAGTGAATGGCGGGTCAGCTGTGTTGTGTTAGGGTTGGTTCTCAAGCTCTGGTTACAGTGGACGGGAGCTGAAGAGACTGACTGCCTGCCTGCCTGCTTGCGTGCTTGCTTGCTTTAGGCCGAGATCGGGTGGGGGTGGAAGCGATGCAAGCCAGGCACTGCAGGCAGACAATCAAAGGACCAGAATGTCTTACGCAGGGATTCCGACATAACTACTTTCTGAGATAAGTCTGACTTCCGAAGGTGGAATTTGCCTGTGCGATGGGGAAACATTCTAGAGATTTTTTGTCAATCTCTAGATGGCCGAGGCTCGCCTAGCATTCAACGACTGTACCTTTGCTCGGTAAACAGTTTTAAATGAAAATGAAATCTAAAGTGGCAGAGAGGCTGTGGCTGTGACAGTGCACTGCTTCTGCTGCAGCAGCAGCAGTGCCTCGATTAGGGAGCCCTTGTACTGCAATGTATGATGCAAATTCCAAAACATATCTCTCTTCAGCAGCAAATGACCACATCAGTCAGAGTGCGCTAGCCATCTACTTCAAGATTCACCGCTAAATTCTGAGCGGGATTCCGCTGATTGACTTACCGAGCAGGCCGCAGTAGAATTCGAGGGACCGCTCCAAGCTCTCGCAGCAGAGGGCGACATGGTTCAGTCCGGTGAACTCGACTGTCATGAAACACATATGCACAAGTTTAGAGGGCATTTACGGTTGTGTACGGCAAGAGGAGCGAGCAATGCAAAGCACTCATGAGATACCCGTCCGGTCGAATAAAATAAGCAGCTTGTGACATCACAATTCATCACCGTAGCTGCTACTGCTAACACTGTACATACAAACCGAGTGTATGACAATCGTACAGAAGAACGATAAATTGTAGGAATTGGGATGATCAGTGAATGCAGCAACTAGTATTAAACAATTACAAATACAAGTGGCAAACGCTCATGATTGTTTCATCGAATGTCAAGTGAGAATTCTCGAGAATTGCAACAGATCAGATGCGGGAATAGAAGCCTACAGGGATGAGATTTCGCTAGATTGGCGACGGATTGTGTTGGCTTCGTGGCATCCTTCGCAGCATCTTCATCCTCTGCAGGAACCGAAATGATGGATTCCGCCACCGTCGACGACTCTTCGGTAGGGCCTAACGACTCGATCTCGGGATTGGTCGCTGCTGCTGCTGCTGCTGCTCCTCCTGCGGCGGTCGTAGTAGAGTCGGAATATGCATGCGATTCGAGATCCGGGTTCTCGTCGCTGCGGGCAGTGTCATTCCGATCAATATTTTCCTCAGTCATGACGGCGCTCGGGACAGCGCCATCGTTCATTTCACCGCCAGCCGCCTTCACATTCTTCACAGCATCTGCGTCCGCACCAGCATCGTCGGCCTCAGCGAGCTCGGCAACTTCGTCCTTGGCAGTAATGCCCACATCGCAGGCGATGGTGGATGCATCTTGCACAGAATCCCCACCTACGAGCTTCTCGAGGCTGGACTCGAATGCCGGAGCGGCATGAGCGACCAGAGACAAGTCGGCTGTGCTGCTCGACTTCTCCTCGTGCTCCTCAGCCTTCTCTTCTTCGTGGACCGAAGGCGATGGTGCAGGGATGGCATCTGACGCGTTCTCCTCCGGTGTCTGGCACAATTCCTCAGGCTTCTCGGTGGCAGGATGGGTCTCCAAATCCCGAGGAGCAATTGCTGCTGCTGCTGCTGCTGGTTCTGCTGTCGTCGTCGGTGTAAGAGGTGCTTCTGGTTGGGCCTGGGTGGCCAGGGTCCGTGAAGAAGTTTCGTCTGATTTGTGACGAGGAGCTCGGACTTCTGCGGAATCCGGGGCGCGCGTGCTGGCAGCAGCAGAGGCTCGCTCCTCGCGCTCGGCGATCTCGGCAGCGGCCGTCATGTAGGCGCTGATGACATCCACCTTCAAGAGCCCGACGGACGAGGGCCGGAAGGCAGGCTCCAAATCGTCCGACATACATCCGTGCAGATTATCGCACGAGCCGCTACTATCCATTCTCGCGTCAGGAGAAATTGCAACGCAGGCTGTCATGGCGCTGTCGAGGTGCTGCGCCCTGGACTCGGGCGGGGCGGGGCGTGGGGGCGGACGGGCGGGGAGTTAGAGCGCACGCCGCAAACTGGGAATGGACATGGACGACGACGACGAGGAAGAGGAGCAGCAGCAGGCGGTCGAGGAGTTGGCACTCCTCAGAATTTCGAGCAAATCTTCTCTTAGCGAGGCAGACAAATCCTTAAAGGGCCGGAACTCGGCAGCGGTGCGCGCACATCGAACGCAACACAGAAGGGTGATTCAAGAGAGAATGGAACCGCGAGCGAGTGCTTTAACCATGCCAACTCGGTGCGCCACTCTTGTGGGGTCCATGCGGGGCGCCCGGCCGGAGGTGCGAGCGCAGCGAGGGGTGGTCAACGTCGCTGTGAGGATCAGAGTCTCATCAGATCGGGCAACGAGCTACGCTAGCACAGAGGGAGAGAGAGAGAGAGAGAGAAAGAGAGTGGCAAAATAAAAGCCGAATTCGGGCGACATGGTGATGGACATAAGAAAAGCTCGGTCGCCCCTACTCCACTCCAAATCTCCTGCCCATTCCACTGCATTCCATTCCACTGCACTGCACAGCACAGCACTGCGCTCCACGGAAACTGGGAATGGCCTGCGCGGGGCTCGGCTCCGCTACATACACCGGATTGGACTACGGGCGATCCGGTATAAATTGCGCAGCTTTTGACTGCTAGCTGCAGGTGCTAAATTAAGAAGATTTGGGCACTCAAAACTTTGTCCTGAGAGATCGCGACATCCGCAGGAATTTGGAACCATCTCACAGCCTTCTCTAGAGGCCCCAGGAAGGTCGGCTGCACTTATGTGCAATGGGTTCATAAAAAGGGTTTGACTTTTTTGTGCGCTTCCCCACTCTGGCTTCTGCTTCAGCTCGGGGCTTCTTTAAGGGGGGGAGAAAGCCAAGCTGCATGTGGGCTAGTGGATATTCATTTGCCCTCGCCAATGAAATATACACATCCCTTTGGCAGCCCGCCTCGCCTCGCGAATAGTCATTCGGGTTTTGTTTTTTCCCTTGCCCTCGTCTTCCTGTTGCTCCGGCCGGGCCTTTCCCCTTGCGTCATTCGCACACCATCCTCGTATTCTCGCATACGGACAACGCTCGTACATGATCTGAGCGTGAGCTGCTGCTGCTGCTAACCCAAATCAGCCTCCTCTTAGAAACTAGATCTACTGACGCGATACCGTTACTGTGGAGCTTCGCGCTCTCTCGCCCAGCACGATCGCCATACCGGTACAAGCGAGATGACGGAGACGCCATGAAGCGTTGACGGGATTAAATGTACGATGTGCCATATCGAGGGAGCGAGCGAGGCAGCAGCGACCTCGAGGGGGTCCCTTCTCTTCAAGAGCTGGATAGGTATATTGTGTGCTAGGGGCGCGTGATTGCCAGCCTCTCGCCATTACGCACGCCTTCGCGGACCAGAGATTTTGCTTTGGGGGCTGGCCGATTATTGCACGGAAGTTTACCGGTCGGTCTACCACAGCACAAGATGGTGGGAATATCTAGAAAGTCCACGAGTCGACTGAACTCAACTGAGCTCAGCTGAGCTGAGCTGAACTGAGCTGAGCTGAGCTGCGGCTGGGGGAGACTTTAGGTGCGAATTATGGTACTATGTGGGATCCAGGGACTGGGGGGAGGGGGTCGCTGGAAGAGCTGGAAGAGCTGGGGGCCATAGGTCTGGCCTATGTCTGGTAGGGGATGCAAAACTACGCTCGCCTTCATGGGCCAGAGATTTTGCTTTCCTTGGCTTGGCTTGGCTTGAGGCTGAGGGCTGAGGGCTGAGGGCTGGCTCCTTACTGCATGGAAGTTACCGGTCGGTCGACCGAGTACAGCGAAGAAGAAGAAGAAGAAGAAGAAGAGGCAGAGAAGGTGGGAATTTCTAGAAAGTCCACGAGTCGAGCCGAATGAACGGCGCGGGGAACTTTTTCACCGATCGTCCTGCGCCGGGGCCATGGATGAACCGGCAAAAATTTCTCTCTCCTAGGCCTCAATCCAGCTCGCTAGCCATAATTCCGCCTCCCTTTATTTGCGCCATTGGTTTCTCCCTTTCCTACTGCAAATCTGTAGTCTTTGCAGGAGTTCCAGATTGACATGTACTGCATGTGGCACCCTGGAGGACCTGCGACGCTACTTTTTGAGCTGCATTTGGGACCCAGACTTTCGAGTGGGGCCGGCTCCGGTACCCACATCGTAGCAGCAATAGCATCTGCAGGGTAGACTTATTTCCCGAATCTACACTCCTAGCCTGATTAGGCACAAGCTACATTGCAGTTTCTCCACAGCCTTCAACTTCGCTTCCCGTGATTTTTCACACGTCTGTCTGTCACTGGCCCAGGACTGCGAGAATCCTCAAAACGCTCGCTCCTGCTGCAAGTCGCTTGTCCGCTTGTACGCTCCCTTTGAGTGTGCACTTTGGTATGACTTTTTTCCCCCCACCCCCCTTTAATTTTTATCTCGCGATCACAGTTCACTGGCCCCCTCGCCACATAGCTGCGTCCCTGTACTATTGTTTATATGCTTTCTGTTGATCTGTTCTCGCCTCCATGCCACTCGCGGTCTTCCTCCAGCCAACCAGCACTTCGAAAACTGTGAGCCAAACCCATCACGCAGCTCTCTCGCCTTCAAGTTGGCAGCGCCCGGTTCGCTTTTCTCCATCCTCTGCGACCTGCTGGGTCATGTGAATATGTCACGAGTCCCGACTCGGTTGGTGCGATCGCCGGACGCTCCTTTGACCATCGCAGCTTTACACCGTGATCGAAGTCGACAACTTGTGTACTATCCGTGCAAAGCGAGCACTGATCATCAGATTTCTCACCTCCAATCTTCGTACTGTCACGGATATGTTACAACAGAAGCCTGGGTGTGTGTCCTCGCTTTTCCCCTTAACGGCTTCGACTTGTCTGCGACGAGTCGCCCGGCCATCCGTCGCCTCTCATCACATTCCAGCTCCATGACATTGATGGGCATTTGATGGTTTCACTTCTGTTCATCATCTGCCGGGCTTCGGTTTCTGAAATATCATCCTCTACAATCTACCATACAGAGTGACGTAACCCAACAGTACACTCGAAGCATTATACGGGGCCAGGTTCCTTATACCTTTTTACGAAAAGCTGTAGGGTAATAAAGGTATTAGAATGAATTTTTTATTTATCTACAACAGTCACAGTCATCAGTTTCGTATTTTCTTCTCGTTGTTCCTCTTACCTCCTTGCGGTTAGTCAAACGTAACCCAGACACGGGGATCCATTTTTTCAAAATATAAACATAAACAAAGATTCAGAGAACGTCGATAAAAGCCGCGGAAACGGACATGGGCCAACCGAAGATCGACCGAGGACGAAATATCTAGGAGCTCTGCGAGGGGGCATTATTGGTTCATGTGGCCATGGGGGCAACAGTTTGAAAAGGAAATTCCCGACCATGATATAGTTAGTCCCTACAAATAAGCTGTCTCAAGCGAGATTCTGTAGTTAAACTGTTCCACTGTTTGCTGTATGTTATCACATTTTCCTTGCAGCGGTGTATGCTGACGACACTGGCCAGTTCATGGCCGCACCCATGCAATGCACCATCTCCTTTTCGGCCTACATGAAACAGTACTTTCAATGGATCTTGCTCTACGTCTTTGGTCGGTCCCCCTTCTCGTTCGATAGACCCGTCGCAAGGCCAGGGCCATCTAGACTTTCTCATGTCCACGGAGCTGCCAGAAGTATCTCAAGCTGCAGCTCGTTATCAAGTCAAGGGAAACCAGTCATTAAACAATTAATTTATCGTAACATGGTAAGAGATTCTTGCTGACTCTCGTCGACTCGTACAATAGTTTGTCGTTATCTTTATCTTCTGTAGGGTAGAAAGCGCCTTCACGAAATCCTTTTTACAGCCAGACTGGAGCTGTTGGACGACGTTCTTAAGTTATCACTGCATAGTTTCCGGATTCGAATCTTGTGGTTGCTGCTGCTTTCGCCCACAATCTGACGAACGTTTTCGTTCATTGCTTCCTTTCCGATTTTCTTTGTGGGTTAATTGAGGCACGACGGTGTACGATGGCACCTCATGACATAGACATACGACCGCAGTAGTGTACCACCAGAATCATTCTTCTTCCAGCTTCACGAAGCCGCAGAAAAAGAGGAGTGTTCGGGTGAAAAGGCCCCTCAGTTTTAAGGGATAGGGAGCAAGGGGTAGAGTAGCAGCAGCTCCTGCGCTATCTTTTGACTTCAGTACTACAACATCCGATTACTTTTGCCCAGATGACAAGACAACGTCATACGAGGTGCATGAGTCTTCATTCAAAAGTCCCCTTGAGATTCCCCGAGCGTCATTCCAGAGTCCATTTCGCTCCATGCTACTTCATTGCTAATTCTCCTTGGAATATCGTAGCAGCCCATGACACATTCACCTGACTGCAATACTTAAGCATGGATTTTCTGCTACTTGATGCTTCTCAAAATTCACATCAAGAGTGCTCTTGTTGTACACGAAGCGCTGAAAACAGCAGCACATGACAAACTTAACCGACTGCACCACTGTCACACCAGTAAATTGCTTTTTCCCGGAGAATGCGAAAATGTTGGACAAAATGGATCTTCAGGTGGACATCATGAAGAGGAAAAAATGGGCCTAAATTTGGACCCTTCAGATTCACGTCCTGTTGAGATGCATGATGGAGCAACATTGCAAGTGATGGCATATTCAGCTCAAGAGCAGTCTCTTCTTCAAGAGACTGCTCCGAGTGCAGCCAAAACAGGGCTTCAGGCGTCGTTGAACTACCTTAAACCTTTAGGAGAAAAAAGAATAATTTAGAGAAGCCTTCATGCTGCCATCCTGTTGAGATGGAGGAAGGGATAAAATAGCAGCTCGCCCCGTGAGCACATTGCAGTCCACTGCATCGCTCCAGATTGTTTCATTGACTGTTCCCAAATTCTGACAGGGGAAGTCTTCAGGTTGCTCGCATCTTAAGATGCTCGCAGTGTTATGGCATGCTACCACCGTGGATAGATAGAATCTCATGCTCAAATACTTTCATAATGCCAGATGTTTTTCCCCATGCACATTCCAGTCATGGTATGATGAGCAATCAAAGTCACTGTCGTACAATGCATTGGGGCGGTCTGAATGTTGGCTTGATTGTGCATGGCTGTCCTGTCAATGACGTGTTTGGACTACCGATGCTGAATGTTCACCTCGGTATCATGATGTTGTTGCTGGTACTACTAACCCCAAAGCCAAAGGGGGATAGGCCCGGTGTATTCATTTCACGAAATGGTATCATTTGGTCCGAATTTTTAAGCCATAATAAATCTCATATTTTATCTCAAGATAACTACACGTCAGTGTGATGTAGTTCTTCACCTTCTTATCAAAACTTATCCACTTGGGGTGTTCCAAATCGTCCCGTTTGATATGGCACGACACAATTCTTCCTTAAATATTTTTCCATCCCCAGAAAGAGAAGCCAACCTATAGCTATAGTGGATATATCAAGACTAGGAGGTTATGATGTAAGTTGTGACTATCAAACACCACATGTATAAAAG